GATCAGTCTTCAGGTTAGGTGTAATAAGTTCGAATGGTGGGGGAAGGGTCAAAGTGCTGCCATTTGCTATATATGTTTTGGACGCTTTTTGTTTGAGAATTAATGTTGTTTAATTCTTTTACGATTACCTCCATTCTTAGCCGTAAAGTGTTTGCACAAATATTTTTATTTATCAATGTTTAACTATTCAACAGGTAAGACTTCGTGCTGTTATGTAGTGCTCTATACTATGTTTAACTATTCAACAGGTAAGACTTCGTGCTGTTATGTAGTGCTCTATACTTTGTTTTTCTACTATATGTAGAAAAATTTTATTTGGCATTTGAATACACTATTTTATTGCAGCTTTTTGTTGAGGAGAGAGTGATGTTCATTCAATAATGGTGAACATGTAAAAGCTGGATTGGCTAAGTTGGAACAATGGTGTTACAAGGTAACCGATGAGGTATCTTTAACTGCCTCCTAGTCTACTTTTTGGTTCTAGGATATGTACTTACAAAATTTAAAAGGTATATAACTGCAGTATGCAGGTTATGAAAAAAATTATGATTAACTAAATTTATATTATTTTGATTGAAATTTATAACGATTTAATAGATTATTCGATCACTATTAAAATGTTTGTTGAAATCATGGTCAAAGCATAAAATAGTGAGAGCTTTTGAGAGTCCAATGTACATATTGTTTCAACGTGGAAACTTTTTTTTTCTCTATTTGTTTTGCCATTACCACTAATTATTTACACTTTTTTTTGAATTATTTATGCATATTGCCTCTTGAAAAGAAAGTAATGTCAAATTTGACTCTGTGTATGTCATTGTGAGTATTTTGTGGTATTGATTAATACGATATTTAGAATTTAAATTTTACTCTAAATATGAAATTTTACTGTGATTAATACGCAACTTTTATTTATTTATTTATTTTGGTTATTTTGATATGTAGAATTGATTTTGTTTCTAATAAATATTGTCTGGAGCCCATTTTAAACTTTCAAGCTGGGAATTTGTAAGCCTTTGCCACTCGTTACTATCAACTAAGCATGGCATTAAATGTCTTCTTCAAATGGAGTAGTAGCAAATGATCTTTTAATTAATTATATTTAAGCATTTTTCTAACTAAATTGAATTCTTTTATGTTTTGAAGAAAAATCACAAGTAGGAGATGATATCAAATTCTTTTACGATAAATATTACTTTTTACTATAATTTATTTCGTATCATTTCATTAAGAAATTCGTTTTTGCTTAAAAAATCCCAACAAAAGGAATAATATACAAATGAACCCTCCTATTTCGTTCAAAAATAGAAATAAGACAATGAAACAAATGCTTTCTGTTATGGCAAAAGAATGCAAAAAGCAAATTTTCACACTTTCCACTTAGCTACATTAAGCTTTTCCATATTTCAGGGGTTACTTTTTGAAATATTGAAACTGCATTAATCGAAAACCACTGCCTTTAACCGCCCAAATTCATAATCAACCCGTCATACCAAACACTGATGATCCTTGCTTCGGTTTCAATTTTTCTCTTCCTCCGGTGCTCTAGATTCATGGTTATATGTCAATGGATTGCCTTTAATAGTAACCTACTCTGGCGCTTATAAATACTGAAGATGGCTTACGCTATTGGCCTCGGAAAAGTAATAACCATGTTCTCCATTTCATCTTTTCCTTGTGTTTTCCTTCAGTGGTTCTTTCTGAATCATTCAGCTTGATTCAGTTGCCAAAAGCAGCCACAGGTCCTGAATCCATTGCCTTTGAGTTGGGAACAGGACGATTCTATACAACTGTGGCTGATGGTAGAATTATGCAATATAACGGACCAGTTATTGGCTTTTTGGATTCACCAGTCCAACTAGGTGATTCTTTTACATGAATAACTTCTGTTTAAAAAAAAAAAAACTCTTCATCAGGCAAACTATGCTTGCAAATGAGTTTAAAAAATGGGTCTTATCTGCACCAGCTAGAGTTTTTCATATCTTGTTATCTACCTAGGTCCCCTGGCTATCTTATCTATCTAGTTCTTGAATTTTCACCCTTTAAACTCTAATACAGGTCTGAGAGAGTGTGTGATGGCACTGATAATCCAGATTTGGAGCCAGTCTGTGGAAGGACATTGGGCTTGGGTTTTCATTACGCCTCGAATCAGCTGTATGTTTGTGATGCTTATCTTGGCCTCATGGTGTTGGGTTATGCAGGAAGACTAGCAACCCCAATTTCCACCGCTGCAGATGGAGAACCTTACCGCTTTTGCAATGGTTTAGATGTCCACCAACAAACTGGAAATGTATTTTTCACAGATTCCAGCTCTGTATATGATCTAAGGTTCTTTCTTGTTCCCACACTATTTCTTCCACTAAATTATTCCCTTTTTTGTAAAGTTTTGCTTCATTTACACATTGCTTACGTGTTGCAAAAATGCCACCAAATCATTGAATGCTAATGATTCGACAGGGAGGTTGTTAATGTATGAACCCGATACTAAGCGAGTGAAAGTGTTGCTAAAGAACCTTCCAGGGCCAGCAGGGGTAGCAGTTAGCCAAGATGGAACCTATGTCCTGGTCTCCAACTTCATTTCTAATAATACCATAAAGTATTGGCTCCAAGGTCCTAAAGCCAACACCTATGACACCATAAACTTTCAGGCAAGGCCAAATAACATCAAGAGAACCCTAGTAGGAGACTTTTGGGAGGCAGCAGCAATTGTAAACCAACCAGCGCAGTCATTGGTGCCTATAGGGCAAAGAAACGGCAGGTTCGGCAGGGTTTCTCGAACAGTAAATTTCGAACCCTGGTATGGAAATAACTTAATCAGTGAAGTGCAGGAGTTCTGTGGTGAACTATATCTAGCATCGCGGTTTGTGAATTTTATTGGCATCTATAGGTTTTAAACTTGTCCCCAAACAGCAGTTTTAGTTTTACAATAATAGCTGCCCAAAATGTACTTTCGGAGGGAGATTGGTACCCCCTACCAGTAATAAAGTTTTAGAGATCACAAAACTACAACTAGTGATTATGTATATTCATTTGAAGTTTCAAGATATCAAAACTAAAATAATTAACCATGAATATATAGAACATGATATAATAATTGTACTAATGGAATAGATGAGCATACCATTGGCAAAAATCAAAAACAATTATTGGGAATTAATGGGATTCATCAATTGGCATGGCCCATTAGCGCATAATGGACACAAGTGACTGCGTCTCCAGCCACTCCAACAATGCAGTTCCATGGTATACATGACCGCATGGCATGCTTTTAGCTAATTACCTCCCCCTTTATCCTTCCAGGCAAATACACACCATTCACTGGTTGTTGCCCAAACCAGAAACATTCTGCAACGCTTCAATGCTTGCCTTACTAGCTGGAACAAACCTGATTTGATCGTCTTCCATCTCTCCATCTATGTCATCCTCCTCTATCTCACTATTATTGTCATCATTATATCTCGTTGTCATAAATGCTCCAAACTTGACAACAATCAGCAACTTGGTTCGGTTCACATTGCATTCAACTCTCAGCAAGGCCTCGGTAAAGAACAAGATGTCACACTTGCACCGGAACATGACCGATTGGGGGACTTCCTGCCCAAACGGGGTGTAAGAGGGGGATTGGTGGAACAGTTTTTGCTCCAATAGTTCAGCCAGCTCGATAGAATCAGGTTGCCGCCGATCTATCAAACCATGGCAACAACGAAACTGCGAACAAGGGTCATCAATAGTTTCACCTTCGTAGTCGTCTGGGATTTGATCATCCACAAGTGCACCATCCCATATTTCCCAAAAGTACCTCATTACACCAGGATCCACGGATCATTAACAGAATGAGAACGCCTCTTAACTTTTTCGATTTTTTGTTTTCTCAATTATTTGAAGAAAGACCTTCAGCCCTTATATATGTATGTATGTACGTGGGTGTATAGATATATATATATATATATATAAATATAATATACATGAAAACTCCAAACGAAACAAGGACTCGATAATCCAATTCCTAAAAGGACTAAATTTCAAGTTTTTTTTATAAAGTATTGATTATATTATTAAACTAAAAAAAAATTATGCTGCATTTCTATATATATTATACACACGTTATGTTAGCCTTTTAAATTAATTTTTTATTTTAATTAATATTTTATCCAAGCAAACTTTTAAAAATTATAGTACGTCTCACATAAATTATCGAAAAAATATGTCATAGAAAACTTTAAAAAAATTTCTTGTAGTATTATAATTTTTCTTTAGTATCTTATTATTAATTATGATAAAATTTATTTTTTTGCATAAATATATAGATGTAGCAGTTTTCTACTTAATATATTTCCATGTATTACATATCGGATTATTAATAAAGCTGAACTTTTATATAAATTTATGCAATGACATTTTCATAGTATGTCAATAGAAAACAAGTTATGGAAAATTTGCACTATCAATAAACTTGCATCTTAAGAATTTTGATACAATAAATTTTGTTGCTAGAGAAAAATTGATTAATAAATTTATCTGTATAGTAAGTATCTTATTTATTTACAATTATAAATTTCTATCGTTTTACATCATTAGTTACTTTAGTTTTTTATTTTATTTTATTTTACCAACCTTATAATTGACTTAAATTACTATCCATGTAATGCGGAGATGATAAATTCTGTCATATTTTAATACTGAATGGCAAAAATGAATAAATTTAGATTGTTTTTTAGAAAATTATAAATCTAAAAATTAAATATTATAAAAACTGTGAATAAATATAAACTATTTTATAAAAATATGGACCTATGGTGCAATCTATTTGTAAGCAATCAATTCTTCCAAAAAAATCCTCACATATTAATTAACCATGAATATATAGAAACATGATATAATAATTGTACTAATGAAATACATGGCAAAAATATTGAAATTATGCGGTAGTAGTATAATGAAGCATAAGTACAACTCAGTGTGTTGTTTGGCTTTATAAATAATTAAAAACAGGATGAAAATTAATGGGATTCATCAATTGGCATGGCATAGCGACACAATGGACACAAGTGACTCGTCTCCAGCCATTCAACAATGCAGTCTCCATGGTACACATGACCGCAGGGCATGCTCTTAGCTAATTCCTCGCCCTTTATCTTTTCAAGGCAAATCGCACATTCACTGTTGTTGCCCAAACCAGAAACGTTCTTCAAGGCTGCTTCAATGCTTGACTTGCTAGCTGGGACAAATCTGATTTGATCGTCAATTTCCATCCATCCATCTATATCCTCCTCATCTGTCTCACTATCATCGTCATCATTATATCTCGTTGTCATGAATGCTCCAAACTTGACAACAATCAGCAACTTGGTTTGGTTCATGTCGCCTTCATCTCTGAGCAAAGCCTCGGTAAAGTTCACGATGTCACACTTGCACTGGATCATGATCGATTGGGGGACTTCGTGCCCAAACGGGGTGAAAGAGGGGGATTGGTGGAACAGTTTTTGCTCCAATAGTGCAGCCAGCTCGATAGAATCAGGTTGCTGCCAATCGATCAAACCATGGCAACAACGAAATTGAACCTGTGAACAAGGGTCATCAATAGTTTCATCTTCGTAGTCGTCTGGTATTTGATCATCCACAAGGTCACCTTCCCATGTTTCCCAAAAGTACCTAATTACACCACGATCCATGGAACATTAACAGAATGAGAACGCCTCTAAGCTTTCTTTGAAGAAAGACCTTTAGCCCTCTCTCTATCTATATATATATATACATCAAACTACAGATGAAACAAGGACTAGATAATCCAATTCCTAAAAGGATTGTGTTTATAGCCAAGTCGATTTACAAAGGGCTTTTCTTTTCTTTTTTTTTTTTTTTTTTTTCTGTTTTTGTGTCATTACCATTTTGTTTCTTAAAAATTCCAAGTTTTTGTATAAAGTAAAGATTATTACAACTAAAAAATACACAACATACGTTGCATTATATATACACACACACACATTATTTTAGCCACCTAAATTACTTTTTTTTTTTTATTTTTTACTGATATTTTATCCAAGCAAGCTTTTAAAAATTATAGCATCGCATTAATTTTCGAAGAATGTTGTAGCGAAATTTAAAAAATCCCTATACTATTTCTCTTTATTATCTTATTATTATGATATAATTTTTTTTGGTATAAATATATATTTAATCTATATAAGATTATTAATGAAATTGAATTTTTATATAAAATTATCCAGTGACATTATCATATTCTGTTAATGGAAAACAAGATATGAAACATTTGTATTATCAATGAGTTTGCATCTTTTAAGGAATTTGGAGCAATCAATTTTGTTGGTATAACGAAATTAATAGAGAAATATATATATATAATAAATATTTTATTCAATTTAAAATTTATGAATTTCTATTATTTTACCCCATTAATTATTTTTCTTAATTTGTTTTATTATTTTATTTTATTTTACTTTATTTTACCAACCTTATAATTTCTTAAATTAGTATAAAAAATTTTCGTGTTTTGATATAATACTCATAAGTAGAATTTTTTCACATGAGAGTTAAAATGTGCGAATATTAATTTTATTATATAAGATTTGACACGTTTGTTAAAATTGACGGGATTTATGTGGTGTCATGTCTATGAAAAAACGAACCTTATTAAACTCAAACCCGTCACTACAGACTTAGCTCGATTGAAAGCTGACCCTTCGACTTGGAAATTTTCTCAGTACGTATGGCCCAAGATAAAATCGAAGTCCCCGAAATCCGTTGACATTAGCAGAATCACCGAACTTATAAGCCACGCGACACAAACCAAAGCTGTCCTGTCCACAAAAAATGCAATTGCTACTTCATGACTTGACTACTTCCTGATTTGCATTTTGCTGTAATTACCAAAAACACTACCACAAAATCATCCAAATGTTATCAAAATTCCAAAAAGCAACAGATAAGGCCATGGTATTTCTACTGAAGAAAGTACTCTCCCCTCTGTGTATTCCAAAGCAAAAATTACATATGGCAATGAACGCCACTCCTCCTAAGGTGCAACTTCTCTATGATCTCTGCAAAAACAGCTTTTCACCTTCTGGGTTGTCTTATGCTTCTTCCCAACCCATCCTCAAGCTCTGCTCTCTTCTGGGTATTTTTCATAATTACCCTTTTTTTTTATTTCTCTTCACAAACTTTTTGCATGTGAAGTTTGCCTCAATTCTGCATTTGGGTTTTGCCTGATATGATGTTTGATGTAAAGTTTTTGGTTGATTAAGGACCTGGAATGGAAAAAAATTGAATCTTGTGTATATTTGATTTCTAAGCTGATACTTTTAGATTTAAATTGTTTTTTTTTTTTATTTGGTAGCTTATTGTGAAGTTTTAATATGCTGGGTTGCGCATTGATGAAATTATTTGCTTGGTTTGTGGTAAGATGTTCTTTGCTTATTTTTCAATAAAAAAATTAGTCATTTTTAGCTAAAACCTCTCTAATTCTAAGGTTATGGACGGATGTTACCACATTGTTTATATCAGACAAAACCAAGTTATCTTTTAGTCCTTTTTCTTGGGGTATATTTTGTTTGGATGAAATTCATGCTCCTTTTTATTTGTTGTCTATTAATAGGATAGAACGCAGGTATGTGGTTTAGTGATATTGAATAAGGCGGTATTTAAGAGGGGAAAGATGCGTTTTTTGTTTATACTAATGCAGCAAGATGAGCTGTGTAATGTGACAGGGATATGATTATATGAATGCTTATCCCTTTTACTATGTCAGGGTAGTTGTGTAGCATTATTGCTTTATTTAGCACAAATTAGTCAAATGATTATTGAATAGAATTTTGTTTTGTTTTGTTTTCTTTTTTTGAGTTTGCAGTCCTTGATGCTAATAGCATTCACTCACTTAACCATGTAATTCTGATATGGATGCGTAACTGTCAGAGATTTTTTCCCCTATGAACATGCCATTTATTTGTAAAATGAAAGGTTACTGGTTTTAATTTTTCACTTAGTTATAAACTATAGCTTTTTGGGAGCTTTTGCCTAGTGTAATGGTAGAATTCTTAGTTCACAAGCTCTAGAGGTTGGGCTCAACTTCTGATAGATTCCAATATGTACAAAGATATTAAAGTGTAGTGCTATTCTTAGATCACTCTTTTTGTTGAGCTCACCTTGCAGAGCTAGGTTTCTCGTATTTTAACTAAAATCCGCAACACATTAATTGAGAATGATCTTAGACATTCTTATCAGGTTTGTGTGCCTATTTTTTGGAATATTTGTTATGCTTATATGTGCCTTTTAAGAAGAGCATTACCATGTTAGAAATGTTAGAGAACTGCTATTTCCTGTTAGCAGTGAGATCAATGATTGACAAAGATGAATGAGGGATGAGTAGTAGAAAATTGCTGATCTGGTAAGTTATGATTGCACATGTTATACAGTATTGTAATTAGTTCGGTTTTGAATTCCCATGTGTGATTTATGATGAAGTCAAAATGGGATTGGATCATAATCCAATAGGTCATTGGCTTCCAAAGTAATAAGGTGGATGAAATTAAGCCATTTTTGTGTGTCAATTCTAATTCTATTGCAACTTTTAAAGAATGAATTTTTTTATTAATGTCAACATTACTAGATGCTTTTAATCCTTTGCTTCCTAAAATTTGCATAAAACAATAGCTGAAAAACTGAAAAACAATGCATTATTTTGATTGTAAGAATTGAATAGGTTGTTACATCTGCTGCTTTTGTTTCTGATACGTCACTTGTATATACCATTTTACAGATACATTTGGCCCGGCTGATGTTGGACTTAAAGAAGAAAGTCCAGATGATGATCGAGGGCATGGATTTTTTGGACTGAATAGAGTAGCTCGATGGGCTCAACCAATAACATATTTGGATATTCATGAATGTGATAGTTTTACGGTGAGTCTTATTACCTAAATCTAATTTAAACTCATGATTTCATACTCCTCTCTTTAGAGTTTCATATGATCAGTTCTCCTTTTGATAATTTTCTCCATTCAATGTGTACCATTTCAAGGCTTATATGCATCTTTCTATTCTGTCCATGAGGTCGTAGTTCATTTGTTTCCATCATCGTTAGTTACCTAGATCCAAAATGTTAAATTGTTTTGGTTTTTTCCCTTTTCTCTTAGTTGCCCTAGGCTTCTTTTGGAGATTCTGATCATACTACACCATTAGTACCTGCTTTTGAGCAGCTGCAAGCCTTAATTCATCGAAAATCTGGCCAAAAAATTCATCCTTTTAAGATTTTAGTAGCTTTTTGCTTTAGTCCTAGTGGTTGAACAAATGATGTTCTATGCAGATGTGCATATTCTGCTTTCCTACTTCTGCGGTTATTCCACTACATGACCATCCTGGGATGACTGTATTCAGCAAAGTTCTTTATGGTTCGATGCATGTGAAGGCTTATGACTGGGTGGAACCTGCATGTATTAAGGAAAGCAAGAAGCCAGGTTGCCCTCAAGGTTTGGTTTAATATACTTCTGTACATAACAGTCAATCTGACTTTTTTGCAGGGAAAGCAATTTTAGTTTGGTTATTTTGTGTAAATCTCCCATAAAGATTGCTAACCTTCATGAACTTTGTGGAAATGGAACATAAAAATTTTGAAACCATCTGATGGGAATACATTGATCTCTGCAAAAACTAGCAATTACTCTAATCAATCTCTAATTTTTTTCTTTTCCCTTTTTCCTATTTCTAATTTTGTTATGATTTATAAAGGACAGATATAAAGCTTTGCTGGGTTTTCCTTTACTAGTTTAATCAGAATTCTTGCCATTACATTTGAACTGTATATTGTTCTAACTAGAGGAACTTGTCAGCACCTGTTTTTGCCTTTATCAGCACCAAACAGTTCTAACCATTTCTCACTTTAGCATAACCTTCTAGTAGCCATTGTCCTCAAAGGGAAAGATGATGAGGTTAGGTTAATATCAGCATGTTAGCGCCCATTCATTTCATTCATCTTTTTTCCCATGGCCTTAAGATTTATTCAAAATTAACACTGTATTTTTAGATAGTATACTCTGTAGCACCTTGTTAAAGTTCAATAGCATCTATATTTGGTGGTATGCTTACCTTTTATTTTCTCATTGTGGTCCAAGAGGAAGCATATGGCTTGAACCTAGGATCTCTACCTCTATTGCATCCCACTCTGACCCCTCAGGCTAAGTCTAAAGGGCATTTGTTGGACCATACTGATTGTTGATAAATTGATATAAAATAATCCATGGACCTTATGTTATGTCGGAATAGCTATGCTTCTGATTGATTAGCAAGGCCCAAATTTTCTTGGGTGTAAATAGTTGCTTTTTCAAGTTGCTAGAGATAATAATGCTCGGTGATTTTTTATTTATTCATGTTATCTCAGTATTATTCTGTTTCTTTTAGGACACTTATTACAGAATTTCTTTTTGGCAGTAAGGTTAGCAAGATTGGTGGTTGATAAAGTTTTTGCCGCACCATGCGGGACCTCTATTTTGTACCCAAAAACTGGGGGGAATTTGCATTGTTTTACTGCAGTCACCCCTTGTGCCGTGCTTGATGTACTTGCTCCTCCTTATAGGGAAGATCTAGGTAGAATATGCACTTACTACATTGACTACCCATATTCCACCTTTGGTAAGTTAATCTTTTGTTACCAATTACCATACATATATTTTTCTTGTTGCCCTTCTATTGTTCTGCATGGTATTGTGTAGCATATAAGCCCTATCACCTAGTCATCATATGCAAGGACAACCTTGTGCAATTCAGTTGTTAAAATAGCATACACTGAGTCTGCAGGAAATGGAGCTCACATAAGCAATGGAAGGGAAGAGGACTATGCGTGGCTTGCAGAGACAGAAGCACCAGATGATCTATATATGCGCTCGGGATTATATGTTGGCCCAGCTATTCAGGTTTAGCTCTCGATATAGCTCTTTGGTAGTGACTAGTGGATAATATCACATACTAATCAGAATGCTGATTCAATGAGCTTATAGATGGCTTTGCTCTTTGATGAATACATATACTTGAAACAAAAGATGTGACCATAAAATTGTATAATCTGAAGTTTTCAATATATTGTATAATTGCTGATCTTTACCTTCATTAGTTTTTCTAAAGAACATCCCACAGTTTTTTGGTTACAGCAGTCTGGTATTTATTGTTAGAATCATTTTTAATTCTATCCCAATTCCTTGGGTTATATACTTTGTGTGGTCTGCAATCTGAGAGTCAAGTTTCTTGAGAAGATTCATGAAAATCAAGTTCCTTTTACACTCCAATATAAACTTTAATCAAACTTGATTATTCAGATTCCAGAAACTGAAACTGAAAACATTTGATCAATCCTAGTTGATCTGAATTTTTTTTTTGCTTCTCTTGAGAAGCTCAAAGGCGCTGAAAATTTCCTATGGGTTGCCCCTTAGTACACTACTGTTCATAAACACGTTTCTTGACACAATGCGTAAACTTTGTTCCCGTAAATTTCTATAAGTAGATCTGAATGCTTCCCCATCATAACAAACATTTACAAGTGTCCATAGAATCTACAATGCAGCTGCCAAATGAACTTGTTTAACACTGTAATGCTGCAGTTTTTTTACATACTAACAGGTAGTTGTTAGCCTCTCTAGTGCAGGGTCAAATAGATAGTTCTATGCACATAGAGAGCTAAACTTGTATGGTAGTTTTAAAATCAAAGCAAATTACAGAAATTGAGAGGAAACAAAACAAGTTCTTAGGAAAAACATAGTAAACTGTTAAATGTCTGAAAGTCTCTAAACGCTTCTGGCCAGCATTTCTTGATTCCTCTTGAAAGATAAGAGCTTTTGCAGGCGCATTTGTTTGTAAAACCTGGTTATGAATAAGTCTGCAACGTGATCAATCTCGTCTTCCAAACTGAAATCCTCTCCTTCCTCTTTGGAATTCCTCACCATCTCAATGATGGACCCACCTTGAGTTTCAGCCTCCAACTCCAATTCCTCATCAAACAAAGAGTGCGTCAGATCAGGATACTTGCTATCCTCAGCATCATCATCGCCATCATTAGCTGTGGCGTCATCTGGAAATGGAACTATGGCTTTGTTTTGGTCGTCTTGGCTAGTTTCATTGTCGCTAAGGAGTCCATGAATCTTGTTGGTGATGGAACCAAGCAAAACCGCCTTCTTGTTCTTCATCAAAGTGAGCAGGATAAGCTGCGCTTTGGCTGCACTCAATTTGCCCTTAACTGCAATGGATTGGGCTTTGGCAATGGAACTCGCCAACAGAGAAGAGATTAGCTGTTTCAAAAAAACCGATGCCTTGTTCTTCATACTTAACTGGTTTGGAAAATTAATATACAAATGCACGAGAGAGCAAGAAACAAAAGGAGCTTATCAACAGATTATTACAAGTTAACTGCAGTGCTGAATTGAGCATTAAGATCTAAGAAAACAGCTTTAGCATTTGATTGATTTATATAGAGGTGAAAAGGCAAGTCCCCAGTGGGCGCTTTTGCTTTGCCTATTATTATTTTTTAATGCAGCTTTTGCTTTGCTTTGGAAGTGGGGCGGTGAAACTTAATTCAAGAGCCAGGGGAAAGCTAAGGGAAAAAGAAAAACTTCCCAGGACAGCAATCTCAGGGAACTCAAACACGTGGCTCGAATCTATTAGCTACATCCATGTTTATATTTCTGAGAAGATTCAGTAACCCCGCAAATAGACCTGTAAGCAAACCTTTAAACAATGGTAATCGGTGTAGATTAAGGAACCCTGCAAATAGAACTGTGAACAAACCTTTAAACAATGGTAATCGGTGTATTCATGTTATACCTTCGTTTAACAAAAAAAAACAAAAATTATCATATTATTTAAAATTCATATTTATTCATTAAACATAAAATATATTTTTCATTGTTATTAAATTTATATATAATTTTTATTAAAATTTTAAAATATATAACCTTTTTTTTATATTATTTTTCTATCACGTTATCATATTGTTTTTTAAATTAACATGACTACTATATTTTCCTGGAAGAAGAGAAGGAAAGACCCCAAAACTGATGTATATTTTCATAAAGATTAGTTTGGTAAGAGGACAACTCATCACACAGAAAGTAGATTCGATTCAGAGAATCACATTTAATCAAGTCCTTTTTACACTCATACACGCTTAAAGGAAAGCTTGTTTATTCAGATCCCAGGAATTGAAACTGAAAACATTTAATTATCATAGTTGATCAAATTATGGTTTTTTCTGGAGAATCTCGTAGGGTCCCTGAAAACTTTCTGTAGGTTGCCTCAGTTCACTACAGTTTAGAAAAATGTTTCTCGACTCTAACTTGATGCAGAAGCTTGTTCCAATGAACTTCTCTAAGGAGATCTGAAAGCTTCACCGGCATAGCGAACATTTCCAAGTTCCTCTTCAATGCGAAGAAGCTGCAATCAGATTGAAGAAAATGAAATGATTCCTTCAAAAAGAAGAGGTTGGGGGGGGGGGGGGTACGGAAGCCATTTCTTTCTGTTAAAAGTGCTTTTGATAGCAAACTTTTCAAGCCCAACCATCAGTTTTCTTAGGCCAAATACAGCTCTAAAAGAGATAATCTCTGCCAACCAAATACAATTAGATCAAGTGGTGAGGTCGTTATATCGTTAGGCATATTCTGAAAAAGGTTGCACCTATCATCAATTTGGATAAACTAAAAGGATTTGATCATATTCTCAGCCAAGAGAATTCAACTAATTTTGTTTAACACCGCAAAGGTGCAGTATTATTTAATGAACCTAGTAGTTGTTAGAATCTAGTGCGGGGTCAAAGTGCAAGGACTGAATCCCTTTTCTTCCCCCGGTCTTGTTCAATTATACCAAAATTGAAAAGAAATCAATGTCTATAAAATCCATGTCTGAAATGAGCATGACATAGGTATAAAGTAAACTAGAAGAATAGAGGAGCAGAAAAGCCTCCGGATTACCTGATTGTATTTGGCCAACCTCTCACTTCTACAAGGAGCTCCAGTCTTGATCTATACAAAAGAGCAACAATCATCACCTTCTAGCATTTGAAAAAACACACACATATTGCTGCTAAATGCTGTTAGAAATAATGGATTTCAAATGATATACCTGGCCACTAGCCAAACCAACAGAAAGGTCAGCAATGAAGTTGTCCTCTGTTTCACCACTTCGGTGGCTGACCATCACTCCCCATCCTGCAGCTTTCGAGTCAAGTGCAGCTTGAATAGATTCGGTCACTGTACCAATCTGGTTAACCTGTGATACAAAGTAACAGAAAATGAACTCCGGCATGTCTCTTCTTACATTAATACAAGAAACGAACACACTTTGCATATTTGAATAACAATCCTAGTATTCAACCATCTGATATTGTATCATGTACATTCATTAGTTTAGAAAGGAATTACCACACAGCCAGCTATTATATAAAATATAATGCAGCCAATTTTCTCACAATAAGAGCAAGGTCATAATCAATCTAGAGGTTGGACAGTTAGAATCTATAAGATATCGAATGTTACTTACTAGAATCTATAAGATATAGAATGTTATTTATTCTATTGTAAATTGAATTTTATGTATGTCACATCTTGATTTCAATAGCATATTTTATAGGTTAAAATTAAATTCTATCAATACAAATAACAATTACAAAGCATACCACACTGATGCACATTATTGGGTTCTATTCTAAATGAAAATCAATTCACTAGGCCAGATTGCAAGAACTGGACAAGGAAGATTATATTATAATAACTATGTAACAGAAAATCCCAAGAAAGGACAGGATCATTCTAGCTTAGATGTTTACCTTAAGAAGCAAGGCATTGCAAGCCTTCTTTTGAATGGCTTCAGCTATTCTCTTTGGATTTGTGACTAACAAATCATCTCCAACAAGTTGGATATTGACTGATGATTGTAGTGAAGCCCATGAGCTCCAGTCATCTTGGTCAAATGGGTCTTCAATTGACACGATAGGAAAATCTTTGACAAACTCTTTGTAGAGTTCACCCAAGCTCTGAGCCGAGAGCACATGAGCTCCATCATTTGGTTGTTTCTTAAAGTTTAGGTCATATTTCCCATCCTTAGTGAAAAACTCCGAAGCTGCAACATCCATTCCTATTTTGATCTGAAATTTTCACATTTTTGAGGTCACATTTGGCATATGGCAAAGCGATCAAAACAGAAAAGAAAAGCATTTGTCTCCTACCTTTCCAGTGTAACCAGCCTTCTCAATTGCATCCATTAGCAAAACCAATCCCTCCCTATTGTCCTGAACATTAGGAGCAAATCCCCCTTCATCTCCAACATTGCAAGCATCTTGTCCGTATTTTGCTTTGATAATACCCTTCAGTATGTGATAGACTGTATCCTCAAAAAGACAAAAGTGTTATCTACTTATGCAAAGACAAATTTAAATGATAAACTGAAGAACATACCAAGTTACAAACTAATTACAGGAACATGGGTTCATAGAGCTTGATATTGAAGTCCATATGAGATAAAGAAAAAGATTATCCAATGAAATACAACGACGCCAACAGATAAATATAGATAAGGAGTTACACAGCTAACCTTCACTCCCCATGCGAAGGGCCTCAGCAAACGAGCTTGCGCCAACTGGTAGTATCATAAATTCTTGCATGGCCAAATTATTTCCAGCATGACTTCCTCCATTGATTACATTAAACGCTGGAACTGGCACAACAAGCTCCTTTGTTCCTGACAATTCCTGGATATGCTTGTACAATGGCATCCCTTTGGCCCCGGCGCCTGCTCTGCATACGCTCAATGACACTCCCAATATTGCATTGGCTCCCAGCTTTGACTTGTTTGGAGTTCCATCAATTTCCAGCATAACAGCATCTACATCCGCTTGGTTTCTTGCCAAAGAGAAAGTCCAAACAGAGTATTTCATTAACTTCAATGCATAGAAAAACCAGGTTATTAAAGACAAAAATCAATGTCATAAGTTTTACCTAACATCAATGCCAATAAGCTTAGGACCCAAAACTTCATTGATGTTTTTGACCGCAAAGAGCACTCCTTTGCCCCCATAGACGCTCTTGTCACCATCTCTAAGCTCCAGCGCCTCATAGATTCCGGTAGAGGCGCCGCTAGGGACGGCTGACCGATAAAGTTCATCAGTGATCAAATCAACCTCGACCGTGGGATTACCCCTGCTGTCAATGATCTGCCTAGCTTTGACTGATTTGACCCTGCACTCCTTGGAAGCCGTCACCGCAACAGACGGGGCGGCAGTTACAGAGCACTGGATGGAAGCTGAACGGAGTTTTCGGGAAGGGAGAGCTGCCGGAAAGGAAAATGCGGAAGGCTGGGAAAGAGACGGCGAGGGAAGGCAAGGTTTTTGAAGGAGACTAGTCTGGGTTGTTAAGGCCATGTTTGGTTAAAAGAGCGAAGATGGGGGGTGAGGGTGTTTGGTACGGAAGAAAAGTGAGGGGAAAGTTAGGGGTGAGAAAGGAATTATAAATAGGAAGGGAAGCAACGTGGGGAAGTCCGTCAAGTAGCGATCAAAGCAAGCAAGTAAGAAATGTGATTTTGTCTTGGTGGGTTGGTGGAGACAGACAAGCAAGACGTTGAGACTTCGAGGTTGGTTCAACTTAGAAAACCAGTTAGGTATCACGTTGAAGGTTGAACTCTACTGTTCCTGTTCTCAGTTCTCTTATTTGTGGGCCCCCGTCCGACGTGGACAACTGGACATTAGCTTCTTTAGTTGTTTACTTTTTGTATTATGTTCTTTTATGTTGACATGAAGCCATTAACCAGACAAATTGAAGAGGACAACAGAAGTGACTGCCTGCATTTGTTACATGGACTTGGCAGTTCCAGTTATCATACCCGTATCGACAGTCGACACCTTGAGGGAGAGAAGGCTTGTGTTGTAACTTGTGAGCGGCTAGGGAGGTAAGAAGAAGAAGGATAATGTGGAGGAAAATGTTAGGGCTTTCATTTTTTATTTAATTTGGGCTCAAAATTTCATCCTCGTAGTTTTCATATTGGGTATAACAAGTGAGTGGTGTAGCCCAACATAAGGAAAACATAGTCCACATAAATTGATGGAAATGAAAATGAAAATTTATTTAGTTTGTTATTATTAATTTTTTATTTAGGACTGTTGATGATGTCTAGTAGTCATTTTGGCTCAATTAATTTAAATTCGAGTCAAGTTGAATATCATAAGAAGGTAAATTCTCTTAAATTTATTTTTTTTATTCACAAAATTTAAAATCAAGATATTATTAAAAAAAAATCGAATTCTTTTTCACTTAGATCTATTATCAATTTTATTTCACTTCAATGTTAATCCTATTAATAGGATTCTTTTAAGTAGTTGGAATCTAGATTGAAAAAAAAAACTGTTAGATTAATTTGTTTGTTATTCTTTGTTTCTTTAATAATAAATTTCTGCTCTCTTTTGATGAATAAAATTATATTTAATTATCCAGAAATTTATTTTATTTATATAATAAAATCTTCATTAAATTTTTATAAGCATATTCATATCTTATTTTTAAGATTTTTACCGAATTCCTCAAATTCGTACCCTGTAGATATCCATACCTGAATTCATGTAATATAAATGACTGCTTCTATATATATATATATATATATATATATATATATATTCTCTGTGTGTGTGTGGGCAAAAGAAACCTCAAAAAAATCAATAATCTTTGCTACTATGGGATTTTCCTTCGCTTAGAAAAAGAAGCTTCAATCTATATATTACCTGTTTCATTTGTTTTAATTATAGCTCATACTGTAACAAAACAAGGACAGAAACCAATTTCTTTAATTTCTCCATATAAATGCAGCTAAAATTAATCCTCACCAAGAAAAGCCAAAGAAATCGTTAAAAGAAAAGAAAAGGAAAAGGAAAAAATATTTCCCCAATAATGGTTCGCATTAGCAACACCCTTTTCACCTTTATAAACATATTTCCTTTCTTTCTAGGCCTGGTTGCCGTCGTTGTCTCCATCTACTTTCGCCTGCATGGAACCACCGTTTGTCAAAACACCCTACGAAACCCTTTGCTGATAATAGGGCTCGTTCTATTCGCTGTATCGTTGCTAGCCTTTATTGGTTCTTGTTGCAGTAATGCCAGTTTTTTCTTAACTGCTTACTCCATTTCCGTGGTCCTTGTCGTTTTGGCTTTAACGGGTTTAACGCTTTTCGCCATGGTCGTCACCAATAAAGCCTTGGCCAGGAGGATTTCCGGGATAGGGTTCAGCGAATACCGACTCGAAGATTATTCAGGTTGGTTGAAAGACCATTTTGTGAGTAACAATAACTGGGATCACATCCGGAGTTGTTTGAGTTATTCCCATGCTTGCAAAACTCTCCATAGCGACGCAACCTTCTCAGGTTTCATCAAGCAAAAAGTGTCCTCAATTCAGGTAAAACTCTTTAAAACTTGATATCGGATCAAGTTTTAATCCTTAGGGTGTCTCTGAAATGTCAAATTATTTTAATTTTAAACCAACAATTTGATGTTTTTGACAATTAATCTTGAATTTTTGCTTGTTTTTTAATTAGTCCGGTTGCTGCAAGCCACCAATCTACTGCAAGTTTGTGTACAAGAATGCGACGTTCTGGATGGTGCCAAAATCGGGTCCGGACGTGGAAGACAGCGACTGCAGGACATGGAGCAATGACCAGCGCAAGCTGTGCTACAATTGCAAGTCTTGCAAGGGAGGAGTTTTAGCCAATATAAGGAAAGAATGGAGGCTTTTGGCCATTCTAAACATATGCGTCATTGTATTAGTCCTCATCACCTTGAACATTGGGTGCAGCATTAGAAGAAGAAGAAGAAGGAAACCTGATGAGAAAATAACCTTTACAGCTTAGATATAGAGATACAGGGGTTATCCTTTGATTTTTCATCATTTTCTTCCTTTTTTTTTTTTTTTTTCAATTCTGTTAAAAGAATAGACACAATATTATAGCAGGTTTAGCTTATTAAGATGCCTAGAAAACCCAAGACGGTTACTAATTATTGATGTACTTTTCCATCAGGTGCTGAAGAGCGTGTAGTCGAGAATATGTCACCTGCTCAATCCATGATAACATGGCTCGATAGCTTGATAACTTGTCAAGTATTAAATCTGCTAAAGTTGCAGTCAAAATTGTTGCTGACGTGATAATTAATGACTATCAAAGTATTACACTTGAGGATCATGGTATAACATTAATATATATTATTAGGTCAAGTGGACCATTACTCATAATTTTTATGTTGGTATTCATTTAAATAGTTGTACTCTTAATTTTAATATAAAATTTAATTTTTGACGATTGATTTCAACTTTAAAAAATACAAACCTCGCAATATATATATATATATATATTATTTTAATTTGATTTTGATGAGATTAAAAATAAAATAAAAATTTAAAGTCTGATATTTAAATGTCACATACGATGAAAAAGAAAAAATTTGTGTTTGCAAATTAATTTATTATATGACAAAAAATTAAGTATTAAAATTATATACAAAAATGTTAAAGGATATATATATATATAAACGACAGTATCATCATGATATTATCAAGAAATCATCAAACATATATTATAAATTATTTTTTCATTATATATTTTGGTAAAAAATTTTATTCAAAAATTAATATAAAATCTCCTACAAGTGCAATAATAAATCAATATTAGCTTTAAACAAATCATATACTATTACCTTTGCATGAAGATGAACTATCTTTAGCTCCACTGATAAAATCTACACCATTTTGATTTATGCATGTCTTATTTGAATGATATGTAGAAGGATTGTTATCGCTTTATCACATTACTTTGAAACTGGCTTTCAGTAATCCAGATTTAAGATAAGTCATCTTTTGCTTTTTTTTTTTTTAAGAAAAATCTAAAAAATTTTAAAACAAAATACCGAAACCAAAATCTAAAATTACACACTCAATTCAGTGAAATCCAATCGTCCCGCTACACGCAAAGGCCACCACTAATTACGTCGTTTCGAAACGCCTCCGGGGTACATTTTCAGCAAACCACATGACGTGCATGTTCCACCTTTCGCCATCTGGCAAAATCTCGACTTCAGCGGACCCCACCAGACAGAGATTACAGAGAAAATCCTTGTAATTAAATTTTATATCGTACGGTTTCAAAACATGAAAGAAAAACCGCCTTACAAACGTAACAAAAAGAAAAAAAATGAACAGTCACTTCCCTTTCCTCGCTGGTTGTTTCGATTTCTCTTAGAAACAAAGAAACAGAAACGACAGAACCAAAACCCAAAGTCCCAACCCAATACTTTCTTCTTCTCTTTTTGATTTTTAAACCAAACCCTTTGAAAATCCCCAGACCAAAAAAGACATAATATAACAATGGGTCGTGTTAGCAACTGTATTGTTGTGTTCCCGAACAGCTTATTGCTGTTACTAGGACAGCTTTCCTTGTCATTTGGGGTTTACTTTGTGGTCCATGGAAGCACTCATTGCGACAAAGTGTTGAAAGATCCATTGCTGATAATGGGTGGTTTCTTGGTGGTGGTTTCTTTGCTTGGGTTAATTGGTTCTGTGTGCAAGAACAACTTTTTCATGTTTATTTACTTGACTGTCATGTTTTTCTTAATTCTTGGTCTCATCGGACTCACTGTGTTCTTGTTCCTGGTCACCAACCATGGCGCTGGGAAGGTGTTTTCAGAGCGAGACTTAATCATTAAGGAAAGAAAATCTGCAGATTTCTCCAATTGGTTGAAGAATCATTTTGTTAATGACAAGAATTGGAATCAGATTAAGAGTTGTTTGATTGATGCTAAGGTTTGCACGAGTGTTGGAAATCATAATGATCATGTTAATTATAAGGCATTGGTTTTTTTCAAGAACACCCTCCCTGCATTACAGGTATTTTTCTTCTTATAATTTTTGGTGGTTAATTCTTAATTGGTGAATTGATTTTTTCCTTTTGGAAAAAAAGTGACAGTTGTTTTTGACTTTATTGCTATTATATATCATTTTCTCATGATTACCGATGGTGACACTGAAGTAACTATCCTTTACTAAGAATACTTTGTAACTTTGTCTTTGCTGTGAATTATTGCATGTATACCAAGCTGTACTATACCATTTATGTTGAATTTCCTCCTTTTCTTGATCGGATTCTTTTCTTTACCTAGCATGTAACATGGATAACTTTCCTAGTTTACATTGTATTAATTTACATAATTTGGTTTGAAATTTGGACCAATATATTTCTTTTGAGTTTCATAGTATACATGGTAGAATAAAATTTTACATTAATTTGCCTCTTAATTACTTATAATTCTACAATTGGAAAAGGTGGTAGTAATTGTGTTTGAATATGGTTGTCGGTACTGTATAGCTAATGCAATTAGGCAGACTTAAACTTATTAGTTGATTCGTAATCACTTTAAGTTAACATTCAACATGTTTGAAATTCAATTTCTAATGTATAGAGATTTGTTTATTTATCCAATAGTTGAGCAGGATATTAAAAAAAGTAGATATCTAAATCGTCTAGCCCAAAAGAAAGTATATTTTGGATTATCTATTTTCTGATATTCATGCTTGATACTAAGAAGCAAATGAGGCAGTTTGATTGTTCTTGATTTGCTTTCGTTCTTAAACTCACCTTTCTGTTTGGACTTAGCTTCAAGCTTAAATCGTTTGTTTGTTTTTTTTTTTAATGAATCAATGTTCAGTCTAGCTGCTGCAAGCCACCAACTCGCTGTGGTTTCCGACCGAAGAATGCAACATTCTGGGAAGTCCCGAAATCAGGACCAGCCACGGCAGACCCTGACTGCTTAACATGGAGCAACAACCAGTGGAAGTTATGCTATGATTGCAACTCATGCAAAGGAGGAGTTCTTGCCAACTTCAGGAAGGCGTGGAAGTCTTGGGCTATCATCAATGTCATTCTTCTCATCTTCCTCATTTTCGTTTATTCTGTTGGTTGCTGTGCCAGGAGGAGCAATCAGAAATCTAACAGGAAATACATAAGAGGCTTCGCTTGATCACCTTTCAATATTCTATTCATATGTAACTATCAAATTAAACATTAATAATCATGTTCTTAAATTAGTTAGTTTTGCCTTGGACTAGATTATTTCAGACGATGATAATTGTGTTCTGACATTGTATTTCTATTTGTGATTCATTTGTGTTTATTTCTGCTATTTTTGCTGCTTTGATTTCTTAGATTTGGTCTCTAGACATGTATAAACGAGTACAAAAAGAATGGGAAAGGTAGGTAAGAAATTGTACTTAAAGCAAATAAAATTAACAATCTAACACTCTATCAACAATTCATGCAACTAATTAAAAATTCAACACTCTACCAACAATCCATGCAATTGTAGGTAAACTGGGATCTTCTTCCCCGAAACAAAGAATGAAGAGTGAGAGGTGGATTAGTTAGTTTATTGCCAGGTAAACAGAAACTTATGTTTTGAAGAATAAATTAAATCCATAAAATTTTACAAAATCCATCCAAGTCCCACTAGTTTGCCATTAATAGAACCTAAGAGCATTCTATGATGAATGATGATAATTCATTAATCTTAGTTGCTAAACTATCTACAATCTACATCTAACATCAAAAGAAATTACAATAGCATGCCAGAAATTGTTTTCAATGCATTTGAGTTATACCCCCTTGTTTTTTTTTTTTTTAAAGAAACAGCAATCTAAAGATAAAAGTGAAAAAATTGCAAATGTTAAATTTGAATTATATAATCGGACTGAGCTAAATCTCTCGAATTCAAGTTATATCCAATTTTGTATATCCATCCAGAAGCTACTTAATTCACAATAAATACTTCAAGTGGAAAAAAGGCAGAATTTAGGATTTATGTAGGAGAAAATAATTGGCTGACCCACAATTCTTGTGTGGAGATAGAAGGGGAAAAAAAGTTCCAATCTAGTTTTAAAACTTCGCAAAACGAACATATGGTTGGACTTCATTTGAGAAAAGTACAAGCAAGAAAGAGGAAAACATATGCTACTAATGATGTTAACAATTCGAGTGTCCATGTTGGGTGAATTAGAACTGTTGGAATCATTGGAACAAAGATGGAACCACATATCCACCCAGTAGCAAGAGCGCCGAGTCTGCAATCCAACAATTGAGTAACAGCAGAAGATCAGATTAAGAAAGAGAAAAAGGGGAGGAAATCAAAATAAAAGAAAAAAAGATAGGTAATAAGTAACACATGAAAAACAGAAGTGGAAAAAGAAAGTTGCAAAAACTATTGCTTACCCAATAATGAAAGCTCGAGCCAAGCTCTTTGTTTTTTCATTAAGGAAATATATGCAGGCTGCCAAAGACACTGCTACCTGCGTATACAATAACAAGAAGAAAAAAGAAAGTCATTTCTTCAGTATAATGAGTGAGGAACAGATACATCTATGGCAATGTGCAAATCAACATCAAATTCAACTTGACTTATTTAAGTCCATTTTACTTTGTTTATTTACTACCATTACTATGATTCTTTCATGCTTCCATTTTGGCTGGGATCTTCAACAATAAGTCAACATATAGAGAGAACAGATTCATGCAGAAGTCTCAACTAGTTTTGGTTAAGTTAAACTTGAGTTCAGCTTAATTTGGGGAAGGGAAGGGGAATTCAATTCAACTGGAGGAAACCACAACAGGCTTGAGCTTTCTTTACAATTATGCAGCTCTCTATAAGAGAAAGAAGAAATGTAAAACTTTCGAACACAGGAAGGGTAGAACCACCAAACTTGAAACAGATTTAAATTTAAACGAGTACATGACACTTACATTATGACAAGGTAGCTTATCCTGACAGATCTCAATGTGGGAGTGAAAACATATTTTTCCATCATCACATTAAAAAGTAAAATTATCCTTTGACCTAAAGTAATCCTCCATTTATGTAACATTTCAATATGGTAATCATTAAGATGAAGATCATAACAACAAAATATGCAACAAACCTGGAAGGCAGGCCCACCCTCTGAAGAATTCATTATACTCCAGCCACCCATGAATGCAAATAAGAACAATCTTCGGAAAATTACTTCCACAGGAGGAAGTTCCACAAAATTGAGTAAGTTTTTAATCCAAGGCGGAGACTCCTCTACTTTCTTCTTTAGCCGACTTTTCAAATTAATCTTTGCTTTCTTTCTATTCTGGAAGCTGGCCATAAGTAGTTTCTCAAATGCAGCTTCAATTGATTCTTCACTTCTCTCATGTCCACCATATTGTTGCAAGAGAAAATTGCGGGCTGACCAAATTTCTTCCTCTGAAGCATAAGGACTAATACCAAGCCGTTTATATGGATCCCAAACTCTTATTCGAGGAAAAGTTGGGGCATTACCTAAAGAAGAAGGATAAAGAACATATGAAATTCATTATAAGCATATACAGGAAATTGCCACTAAAGCAGATTTTATAAGCATGCATATACAGGTCTCTCATGTCTCAATGTCCACATGTCAGCATGTATGTGTAACAGCAATCCTGACTATTGTAACTTTCATTTCAAATCAATTTAAATCCCTCAGCAATAGGTTTAATTTGTTCATTCCTCAAGCAAACGAGGTGTATTGTGTAAAAAAAAAAAGATAAAAGAATAAAATCATGTAATAGCAGCCATTACATTTATAGCATTTCAAAAGGAATGCTAAGCCTAGCCACGTAGGTTTGACCACATAAATTGAGTAGTTTTTATTCAATGCCCTAGACGCTCAGTTCTCAACACATAAGACACATAATTAACAAAATTCTGGTACCCAAATGAATGTTCAGCGAGTTTGTATTCCATATTCAATAGGGAAGAAGGTTAATAGCGTTGCCCTTTTAACCTTTGAGCATATTATCCACAGGAGGAAAAAGTAAAAATATACTTCCCTCGTAATTTGAAAAGATTCTGATTCACCTAACAGGTCTTTGTTCCAAAACAATGTCCTTAGCATAATAGATATCAAAATTTAGCTTAGGACAATTCTTAGTTATAGAAATGTCTGAAATAGACAAAAGAAAAGGGAGTTATACTGTATACATTTCTTCTCAACTCCATAAATCAAATCATAAATGCGATCAGTTCAACCAAAAATGTGAGTTTAACTTTTCTCAGCAAATCTAGTTTGAAATCATTGCATAAGGCTCCATGAATACATTTTATGTTTCTCAGTGAGGCAGCAGTAGCAAAGGAGGTCACTGCATCATTATTCATATTCATGGCATTGGTAGTAGTGTCATAGTTTCACATCATGGAAACAGTTAAAACAGCAGTGATAAAGCTGAGGTATGAAGGAAGGAGCAGGAGTCAAAAAGAGATAAGTAATGACCATGGCAGCAAGTGAATGGCTACGCAATGATTAAGGCACAGAGATGATAGTCACAAGATGATGGAGCAAAAAGTGGCAAAGGTAAAACTAACTACATATACATCCTCTAATTAGTAAGTGGTTAATCCCCCGCTCCGCCATGCAGTTAAATAGTTTTTTGCATCATAAATAAAATAACTTGTGAATATCCACATAACAGTCCCTCATTATTATATACTGGAAATCATCAACCAATGCTTTGGCAGGATATAACTTTTTTTTTTTCCAAACAATTACTTTTGGGTCATATAACCCAGAAGCTATATTCGCAGCCAAATCATGTAACTTTAGTTCCCGAACTAGCAGGCTGATTCGTACAGCCAGAAAGTAACCTTCAAATATTTACAACTATCAGATATCAACTACCATTCTATCTATATCAGTTTCCGACATGATTTTCAACAATCTTGCCGGTAGACGGTTTATGTGCAAAAGGGAATTTTCCATGCTCGGTATTACTATCATATTTATTTCAAAACAAAACAAATTTTGAGCTACAGTGATTGGTAAAGTATCAACAAATAACAACAATAAAACAACACAACCAAGAAAAATAAATTGAGAATTAGAACAAATTCAACAAGAATTGGGACACATAAACCATGATTTAAAGCAAGGAAGTAAAAATTACCTCCATAAGGCATATCCACAGCACATCTAGGGATTTTATGCCTTCTACAAAGGGGGAAATACGTTATCCCATCCTTCGTAATCTGATTTTGATGACTGTAAACAAACATTACCCAAAAAAAAACTCCAAATAATATTCAAATAAAAAGGATTTTAACGCAATTATAAATAAATTCTCAGCTTAAAGCAAACGAAAAAAAAAAAAAAGAGATAAAGAATTGAAGACTTACATTTTGTGACCGAGGAACAGAGTGGAGAGAGTAGCGTTGGAAAGCGACAACATTGAAACCGTCTCCAATTATTTGATATACTTTGGAAGAAGTGAAAGTGAGAAAGTCTCCAGTTTGGGGTAGCTGGAGGTTAAGAGGAGGAACAGTGTTTCAGGATTTTGTGTTTTATCAGCGAACATGGGCGAGAAGAGGATTAAGACAACGTAGGAAAACCGAACCGTCTTATTTGGTGGGTTTCGATTTCCGGTCGGTCCAAGCTGTTCAGTTTTCTCATTTACTTTGTTCTAAGCAAGCCCAGATATAGCCCAAAAGTCAACAATGAAGACCCAAAAAAAAGACACTATAAGTTATGGGAAACGTGTCAACATGTGATGGGCTGGTAAGATTTATTTATGTAAATAGTGTCTTTTAGATTTACTTTGGTTGTCATTTTTTTTTTCACTCTTAAAATACATATATATATATATATATATATATATATTTAACTACAAAGTGGTTGTCCGCTTTACACTATACAAAGCCGGGGTCTAGGCAATTCCACAAGATCATTCCGTAAAAGCTTAAGTAAATCATTTAAAAAAGAATGCAATATCTGAATTCCAAACTCCTTATCCTGACCGGCTAAAAAAATTGTTATTACTTCTACGTATTGATACGTATGATATCGATGCATTTCGACGAACCATACTTATATTATTTAATATTTTATCTATAAAGTATTATACACATAAATACATTTTTTATTATAAATAAATTAGATAATTCATATATTTACATCAAATAAAATATTAATAATTTATAAATTTATATCATATTTCAATATAAAAATTATAGGTCATAATTTATTTTAATATGAAAACACAAAAACATAAAATATAATTTTTTTATTCCGTTAAACCATATATAATTTTTGTTAAAATTTTAAACTATTACATTCATTTTTTTTATAATATTTTCATATCACATCACTCACATCACCGTATTATATTTTAAATTGTTAGATCTAATCACATACATTTATATGTTTATATATAAATATAAAATTTAAAAATTATATATATTCAATATTCAAAATTTTCAAATCCCAAATAAAATAAATATAAAAAGATTAGAAAATATAGTAAGACATTGATCAATAGCTTAATTTACTAAACAGCTTTTCTTTTTTGAGGAATTTATGAATATATAAAAATGATCATGAAAGAGAGTATTAGAAATTGACTAAAACAATAAGATAAGTGAACAATATTAAAATAATAGGCAAAATCTTATACCGATCAATACGGATCAATATGAAAAGTGAACGGTACATAAACTTCAATTTATCAGTTTTCCTCAAATCTGTACAGTACAGTACCGATAACATTGATATTTATTCCTAAGCAAACTTAAAGCAAGAGAATGCAGACCAAAGAGAAAGAGAGGAAAAAAGAGTTAGGGTTTTAATTCTCTTTGTTTTATTTCCATCAATGATTAAAGCACGTAAAAGATGACCTAGTTAATACCTTATTCATACATGAAGAAGATTTTTGTTCCCCAATTTATAGTTTAGAATTTTGATCAACTTGAGCTAACTGCTTCCGCAAAACCCTCCTCATAACCTTATTACTAGCTGTTCTTGGGAGAGATGAGAGTGCCACAACATAGGATACCTACACATTTTTATAATTTATTATGCTAAGCAGATCAGTGATGAATATTACCTTATGTTTTCAAATGGCAGAGCAGCTTACCCTAAACAAAGGATTGAGATTCTTCTGAACTGCTGAATTAAAAGATATTCTCAACTGAGTCAAGTCTGTTGTTGAGTTATCTGGATCTTTGAAGACAACTGCAATTACCAATCGTTCGGGGCCACCATCTGCTGGTGGCACCCCAATGGCGGCTGTCTCAAGTACACTGCTATCAACTGCATTACAGATGCGTTCAATCTCAACAGAACTAACCTGCTCAATTAGAGCGAAATCAATCAGCAGTTAAAGCATCCAGGATGCAAAGATGGGTTAAGACATTTCTCTCAAAGTGTGAAAGAACTTCAATATGTCTTCCCCGATGAACACAATTATATCTCTATGGAGTTTGTTACTCAATGAGAATTAAGTGGGGATCTTCCTATCGTTGAAATGCTTAAATCTCAAACCACAGATTATATCCCATCGCATCAAATAAATACCTTAATACCACCGATGTTCATTGTATCATCAGCACGACCATGTGCGTGATAGTATCCTCTAGAGGTACGTTCAAAGACATCCCCGTGCCTTCGAAGAATCTGCAAAGGTAAATTCAAACACAAGTTTTACTACCAAGAGAATATGATAAAAAGGAGGTGGGTAAGGATAATTCGTTTTATCCTTTACATTTAAAAATCCATCAATTAAGATAGATAATACACAAGTACAATCAAAGCATTTTCACACTGCAGTGGTCGAGCACTTTGAATCATATAGCACCATTAGGACTACAAATTATGCACAAGATAATGCACCAAAAAAGAAAGATGTTGAGGGTGACAAATTTCCCACCAATCCCTTCCATGAAGGCATGCCTTTAAAGTAAACATCATAGTGACTAGCATTTAGCAGTGTACTTGAAGAACCAAACATAAGAGGACCAAGGGCCAGCTCTCCCATCCCTGGTGCATCCTGAGGCTGAAATTGAACGAGTTGAAGAAATTAGTTGCATTTGATTTTATATGTGGGACATATCTGTAAAAGTAAATAAAGAAAAGATGTTTCTCATGTGAAATCACTTTACCGTTATTAGGACTATTAGCAACTCAGATTTAGAAGAACAGTAAATTGTTCAATTAAAAAATACAGCAAAATTCTCAAATCCTATCAAAGTTTCAATCATATCCACCAAATAGTTTATTTCAAAAATATGTATCCTGAACCTTTGTGAAAAGATGGAAAATTGGAAGAAGAAAGATGGCAAAAATTATTTTTCAGCAATGTGTTTCTATCCATAACCTATAGTCACAGCATCGTAATGATCAATAATCCAATAGATGAAGGAATCCGTTGATGTTGTAAACAGGGGGGTAGAGATTTCTAATCTACGAGCAAAGAAGAGAAATCCAAGAGAAAGAGAGAAAAATGATAAAAGAAAAAGAAATAAAAGGGAAAGACAGAAAAGGAGCACCATCACCATCATGGTGACAAACAACAACACTGAATGGCAGGTATATTGAACACATTACTGTTGATTTCATATGTAAGTTTTAGAGAGAGAGAGAGATTTAAAATAGAAATGAAGAAACAGAAGTCCAAAAAGAAGCTGACAAAGCACTTACGTGGTTCTTTCTTTTTATCATGATGCTTGAGAGTCTGATGCCGTGAACTTATTTTAAGAAGTTTAGGATACTTCTCAAAAAGCTAAAAGTTTAGGACACTAATTGCTACAATTGACAGGTTTAGGACCAAATGAAAACGTTCTTAGAAGTTGAAGTAGTATTGGTGTAGTTATAATTTCACCATGGCAGGTCATTAAACATGTACAATTCCGAATAAAGTACTGCATTTGAAAGGGAAGAAATGGATGAATAGAAACACATAATATGATTGCAAGCCAAAGCATTCCAGAAATGTATAGTGTGACTATATATTGCTTTTTTACTCTCTTACACGTTAATGAGGGTTGGATTGGTGCTTACAATAGGATGGCCATCATCGCCAAGAATAAACAAACGGCAACCCATAGCTGGTGTACTAAAAGCAGCCAACGACTGGGGCTGTAGAAATGATCCAGAAACAAAACCACCACCAATTTCAGTGCCACCACAGTATTCAATGATAGGCTTGTAGCAAGCTCTCCCCATCAACCATAGGTATTCATCTACATTAGATGCTTCACCAGTGGAACTGAAGCAACTGCCAGATTCAGAAAAAGAGAAAATAAAGCAGGGAAGAATCAATATTGGAATAAAGTCCATAGCAGGTCAACTTTCTAATGAAAAAAACTTGACTTAACTGAATGCTTACATACTTGCAAGTGATTTGATCATGTGGAGAACAAACAAGCTTGAATAAATATGAAGAACTTACACTTACCGGATGGATGACCAATCATAGCCAGCCATGCAGTTTGTACTTTTCCAAGTCCGGACAATGCTAGGGATGACACCAAGCATTGTTACTTTTGCATCCTAGACAAGTTTAGTGAACAAAAGTAAATTCCAGATGAATAAGATATAAATTTCTGCAATCCATTTATTTACGAGTCTGTCTTCTAAAATATTACCTGTACAAACTTGGCAAAGCCAGAAGTGAGGGGAGATCCATTATATAACGCCATGGAGGCGCCATTTAACAATGAAGCATATACTAACCAAGGACCCATCATCCATCCAAGGTTTGTAGGCCATGCAACAATATCACCTCTACGGATGTCCATGTGGCACCATGCATCTGCAGCAGCTTTGAAAGGAGTCACATTGGTCCATGGAATTGCCTTTGGCTCACCTACACAAGAAATAAGCTCAGTTAGCCAGTCCATAGCTATTTTCTGACCCTCAGCCAGCTTTAAATTATGGAAATTGAGTATAGTGGAAAAAACATGAATATTAACTTCTTGGTCCTATCCTTAAATAATACTGTTCTTTGATTTAACAACTTTGACAGCAGAATAACACTATCAGATGACCAAATTTTCACAATTATTTTAGTTTCCTTTCTTGATATTTGACCCTACTTTTGGGCTTCACAAGGTTATCAGTTGGCATGGGATTCTGCAACAAAAGAGTCAGATGTAGGCAAGGAACAACAAGGGCACCAGACAGAAAAAGCAAAAAATCTCAGTTGTAGATACACAAAACTACCATGCCTGACAATTTCTCAGAAGACATAATGGTAAGTCTTTCCTTTATCATCTTCTCTCATACTGATCACCAAAAGTATGAAATTAATTTCTTGATTCTTATTGGTGTATACCCACATATAAAATAGCTAAGTGAGATTGCTTGGAATGTGCATCAACATGAGAGTTACCATTAGTTATATTTAAGACACCGCTCCAAACATAACTAAATGAAAATTATACTATATGCTAAAACTCAATGCGTTGACACTACTTACACGCTCATATTTCACTATTCTTGTAACAAAGTTTTTTTTCTACTTGAATGGCCATTTTTGGGCTTTAAGTTCATGACTCTTTGGGCTTAGAATTTTCAGGCTATATAGGTTATATATATTTTCATTCTCTCTTAAACTCCTTGTGTTATTAGTAAATTTTCTCTTTTTTTAATATTATATCATCTTTTTTTTCTTAGCATTTATTTGTTAAAACTTTTTCTTTTTTCTTTTTGTTGGCTTTTTTCTTTTTTTCGTTAACTAGCTCATTTTTTCACCATAATATTCATTTAGTTGCTTATTATTTTTACCTTATGAAATTTAAAGACTACCTATTTGATCTAAATCCCAATTCAAAGAATATGCAATGTGTCTTTTACCATTTTATTATTTCACAATTATTATACAGTTGTTTAATCCATTTTTAATCTATGCTAATAAATAGTTTATTGCAATATATTCTCTTTAAGGTTTTAACATCATTTTTATATATTTAACAATATTATATATGATTTTAGTAACAGTAAAAAAAAAAGTGTTATCCAGAGAATTAGAATTGTATAATGATGAAAATAACACTTAATAATATAAATTACTAAAGGCAAAAAAATATAGTTAAAAACATAAATATTGCTAGCAATCTTTTACTTCCATAGCCAAAAATGATAAGACTCAATATTATCTAAATAGAATTATATATATTTTTGTACAAAACTACAAAACTATCTCTTTTTTTCCACAGCAACTTGCAAAGCCTGTGGCTTGTTGTTTCTCATGCCATGAGCCATCTGGAAATTTTCTATGACAAACATCTGATGTCATTATGCTAAGACAAAATTAGGTAGTTTTTTTATATATTTTTAACTGAATTAAGCTTATTCCATACATGATATCAGGACTTAAAATTTACACTATAACCATGATTCTATGCCACCAGTTGCCATGAAATAATATGTTTTTTTAAGAAAGAAATGACAAGAAATAATAATCAAGACTTTTCCAGGTTAAATTCCTTCTTGAAATTACCTGTAGTTCCAGATGAGAAAAGGATATTTGTAAATGCTTCAACTGGTTGTTCTACTGCCTTAAACATATCTCCCCTGCAATATTACATGCAATCAAACGAAAGATTTAACAGTCTTGCTGAATATTACATGCAATCAAATGAAAAAAATTAATAATGTAGGAAACTTAAAGAACAATTGTCCTTATTTCTTCTTATTCTATCTACAATGAAGGAGTATATCTAAATAAATAAGAACAATAAAGTTCCTTACTAGGAAACAACTTACATGAAACAGAAGGCAAAAAATAATAAAAGGAAGGAGAATTATTCTATTCTAAAATAGAAACAAAATTCCTAAAAACTTGACAATCAGAACAGTTGACTAAATTAGAAGAGTAAATAAGAAATATTCCCAAAATAAATTAGGAAATCAAGCTATACTAATGTAGGAGAATTAGATTTCTACACTCCCCCTCAAGCTGGGTTATGAATGTTAATCATACTCAGCTTGGATTTCAATCCATTAAAAATGCTTCTAGGAAAAGCTTTAGTCAGAATATCTGCAATTTGTGAACTTGTAGGATATAGGCCAATTTGACCAACCCATTTTCTACCTTTTCCTTTATGAAATATCAATCCAACTCTATATGCTTGGTCCTACCATGATAAACAAGATTTTTGGCAATACTTATAGTAGCCTTCTTGTCACAAAACAATGTCATAGATATCACAATCTGAACTTTTAATTCTCCAAGTAACCTCATCAGCCAAATTCCTTCACAAATACCATGAGACATAGCTCTAAACTCAGCCTCAACACTGCTCCTAGCTACAACAGCTTGCTTTTTACTTCTCCAAGTGACCAAATTGCCCCAAACATAAGTGCAATATCCAGTAGTGGACCTTCCATCTGTTACTGATCCAACCTAGTCAGCATCTGTTTACACCTCGACTGCCCCATCCATTGACTTTTTAAAATATAGACCTTCACCAAGACTCTTCTTTAAGTATTGTAGGATGTGATGAACAGCCTTGAGATGCTCCTTGGTTGGATTATCTATGTATCTACTCACCATCCCTACTACAAACCCTATATCAGGTCGTTTGTGAGAGAGGTAAATAAGCTTCCCAACTAGTTTTTGGCATCGCCCTTTGTCCATGAGAGAGCTTCCATTTTCACTACCAATTTTATTAGTTGAGTCCATGGGTGTGTCAGCAAGTTTGCATCCAATCATGCCGATTTCTTTGAGTAGATCAAATATATACTTACATTGAGACACTGATATTTCATTCTTATACCGAGCCATTTCCAACCCAAGGAAATATTTAAGGAACCCCAAGTCCTTTATTTCAAACTCCTTTGCAAGGACTTTCTTCAAATCATCTATTCCTTCCTTGTGGTCTCCAGTGATTATGATATTATCCACATAAACCATAAGAATAACTTTTTTCCTTCATTAGTGAACTTAACAAACATAGTATGGTCAGATTGACATTGAAGGAATCCATACCTCTTCATTGCCTTGGTCAACCGTTCAAACCAAGCCCGAGGAGACTGTTTAAGTCCATACAAAGATTTCCTAAGTTTGCACGCTTTGCCTATGTTGTATTGCCTTTCGAAACTAGGGGGAATTTCCATGTAGACATCTTCCTCCAAGTCACCATTTAAGAATGCATTCCTGATATCAAGTTGGTGGAGAGGCCAATCCAAGTTGGCTGCTAGTGACAATAGAACTCTAATTGAATTGAGTTTGGCTATCGAAGCAAATGTCTCCTCATAGTCTATCCCATAGGATTGAGTGAACCCCTTTGCAACAAGTCTAGCTTTGAACCTGTTTATACTTCCATCTACATTGTGCTTTATTGTGAAGATCCACTTACATCCAACCGGGTTTTTCCCTTTGGGCAAATCTGAAATTTTCCATGTCACATTTTGCTCTAGTGCCTTGATTTCTTTAAGAATTGCTGCCTTCCACCCTGGTTCATTGAGGGCTTACTGAATATTTTTTGGAATTTGCACATTGTCAAGGTTAGTAGTAAAGGTTTGAAAGTTTGAATTTATCCTGTCATATGAGATGTACTTGTAGATAGGGTACAGGGTGCATGATCTCACACCTTTTCTTGATGCAATAAGAATATCAAAGTCACCAGCTGGCTCACAAGTTTCAGTTTCAGATTCAATAGGGACATTACCTGTATTAGTTTCAGGTTCTTGGAGAGTCAGATCAAGTTGATTTTTTGAGCCAAGCTGTGTACAGTTGTCCACTTCCTATGGTTTTTGCTTCCTTGAGTAGACTATCAATTCTTTTGTTTTTTCTTGCATAACCTTAGGGTTTGAAAAGTCAAGAGTTATCTAAATAGGTGAGGTTTCGGAATTTGCATGTTGAGAATCTAGTTTTGAAGGGGCTGGTTGAGATTCTAGTTTTGAAGGGGCTGGTTGGGGATCTAGTTGCGAATTGATATTCCTAAGTCGTATTCTCCCCCTTAATATCATTCTTGATGTAGTATGGAAGATTCTCAAAGAAGGTGACATCCACAGAGCTATAGAATTTTTTTGCGATAGGTAAGACCTATAACCCTTTTGGTTTGGGGAATAACCAAAGATGATGCATTTTAAGGCTTTGGGATCAAGCTTGCCGCGATTTTTGTTGGCTAATATGAACAAAGGCAATGCAACCAAAAAGTTTGATGGGAATGGAAAAGATCAACCAAGTTTGTGGGTAAGAAGCAAGGAGAGTTTGACAAGGAGTTTTAAAGCCAAGAACTTGAGAAGGCATTCGGTTAACCAAATAAGTTGCAATGAGGACAACTTCTCCCTAAAAATATTTAGGCACATTGGAAGTCAACAATAGGGATTTGGTCACTTCTATCAAATGTCTATTTTTGCATTCAACAACCCCATTTTGCTGTGGAGTGTCAACGCAAGAGTTTTTATGGATAATGCCATGACTGGTGAGGTAAGGGCCGAGAATACAGTTGAAGTATTCCCTTTTATTGTCAATTTTAGGACTTGGAATTGGATTTGTACCATGCTATTGAAGTTTTGAAAGATTTGGCTAAACTTGGATTTTTATTTCATAAGGAATTCCCAAGTGAGTCGAGTATGATCATCGATGAATGTAGCAAACCACCTAGAACCTATGATATTGTTAACTTTTGACAGTTCCCAAATGTCATTGTAAACCATTGAGAAAGGCTGAGATGATTTATAAGAAAGGTTAAAGTAGGTATTTCGAGTGTGCTTGAAAAGTTGACAAATTTCACACTAAAAATCTTTAGAGATATTATTGAATAATGAGGAAAATAGCCTTTTTAGGTATGAAATATTCGGATATCCTAATCTATAATGCCATAACATGATAAGGTCATCCTTACTAGTACTAGAGGCTAAGGTTGTTCAAGAGTTTTGTGGTCTCTCAAGTATATCATCTTGAAAAAGGTAGAGGCCTACACACATCTTAACATTGCCAATAATCCTCCTCGAGCCCAATTCCTGAAATTCACACAAGTTGGGAAAAAATTTAGTGACACAACATCTATCCTTCGTAAGCTTACTGATAGAAAGTAGGTTACAGCTTAAATTAGGGACATGGAGGACAAAGTTGAGTGTTATGTCTTTCGAAACTACAATAGAACCTGTTCCTGCCACCTTGAGAAACAACCATTAGCAATTTTTACAGCAAAACTATCATAGCAAGATCAATATGTGTTGAATAAGGATGCATCTCCAGTCATGTGATCTGATGCTCCTGAATCAACAATCCAAGATTGTGTATTTCCCCATTTAACACTTAAAGCATTTAGTAAATTATCTTTTTGTGCTAGTAAACTAGTTCCAAAGGTTGCAGACTTGTTTTCAAGGGTTTGTTGGAGCATCATCTCTTTGTGACTTTGCTCATGCCATACCTCTGTGGAAGAAGAGTTTTCACTCCTGTTAGCCATAACAGAAACTCATGTGGCTACAGTCTAATGGTTCAGGCAGACTTGCTCTGATAACATATAGGAAACTTAATGAACAATTGTCTTTATTTCTTCTTATTCTATCTACAATGAAGGAATACATCTAAATAAATAGGAACAATGAAGTTCCTTATTAGGAAACAACTTACATGAAGCAGAAAACAAAAAATAATAAAAGGAAGTAGAATTATTCTATTCTAAAATAGAAACAAATCCTTAAAACCTTGACAATCAGAATAGTTGATTAAATCAAAAGAGTAAATGAAAAATATTCCCAAAATAAATTAGGAAATCAAACTGCACTAATGTAGGAGAATCAGATTTCTACATATAATCATGTGATTTCAGATAAAAACAACTAAACATTACAATAATATCAACCACTTAACTAAGCAACAAGAAAACAAAGAATTTGGTCTACTTTGTCTTAATAAATACCAATTTATAAAACATCTCAAGTTTATGTCTTTTCCTAGGACATAATTTTGAGCGTTTCAAATGCCCATGAGAAGGCAATATAACCCGAATCCAACGGGTCCCGTCCCGACCTTTTAGGTTCGATTTTTTTTTTTTTTAAATCAGGTATCGGGTCGAGTCCAGTCAGAGTCAGGTTTTAAGCAAACCCAACCCTACCCGATCCAATATATATATATATAAATTATTTTTTTAATTTTATATTTATTTATATATATTTAATTTTATATTTATATTAAAAATAATATTTTATATTTAAAAATAATATTTTATTAATTTCGGGTCGGATACAATTTTATACAATGTCGGGTCGGGTCGACTATAAAAAATAAAAAAATTTATCGGGTTGGGTCACGTTCAGATTTTATATATATAAAGTCGGGTTGGGTTCGAGGCGAGCAAAAACCTATCCCAACCCAACCCGTTGCCATCACAACCCATGCCCCATAGTTTGCAAAACTTTTGAATATGTAGTTTCAAGAAGCTAATAGAGAGAGTTGCTATTGCTTCTGAAGATTGCTTTAATAGTTTCAACATTCAAACATGCGCATTGCTTACCAAATACCTTGATTATGAAGGCACACTGGATAATTATCCCAAGCCCAACTAACTTCTCATTCATCCCAGTTAGGAATATTCTACAACACAACCATTCCTACAGTAGGAATATGAACCCAAACCATCAGTAAATGTACCAAGCCATAAAGTAAAAACACTAAAAACATCCACCATCATTCTGGCTACCCCTTCCAAAGTAGTATGTCTTGGTTAATTAAAATTAGAAAAAGCATATCGTTTCAGCAATGGAGAAAATGAAAGATATCCCATGGACAATCAATCAGATATGGCTTCGGAGCAAGCTATACAATCTTCCATATATTTTTCTTCAAGAAAAATGGTAGAAGGATACAAAATGACCATGGATGATCATAGATACCAACAAAATAACAGTAGATTAGCTAGAAGCAAGAGAGTGCTTACTTGAGTTTTTTTACACTTTCCAGAAAATCAGGCCATGAAATATCACCATCACGCAATTTGATGCTGAAACTAGAGCCTCTGGCTGGGATAACGATGGCCATAGGTGCCTGAGCTTCCACAACTCTACTGCAGAATGGAAACTATACTGTGAGATAACTGTCATTAGAAACTAGAAATATAAATAAACACATTGCCTTAAATAGTTGACAACAAAATTAAAGGAACTTCACCTATACAAAGGTATGCTTTTTTCACCACGAATAATAAGATCCTGAGATAAAATGACCAAAGAATTAAAATGAGAACAGCAAGTAAATGTGCTTGAGTGAGGATCTGGAAAGATTAAAAAACCAACAAAAACATAGGGACTAAGTCAAAGATGAGAGACTTACTAAAGGAAGGGTCACAATATATTATCAAACAAGATCGTGAAAATTGTTCCAGATATGATAGCGATGAAAATACTCATTCAAGGTGAACTATCAAGAGATAAAGACAAAAAAAGTAAAAAAAAAAATGAAAATTGTGAACAAATATATTTGAGTACGACATTCCCACTACCCAATTCAAAGTTATATTTTTTATATAGCACTACCTAGAGCCATTATTAAGGTCCTATACTTGATTTCTCAGAAAATTTAACACTAGTTAATTGTTTTCATTACGAATAAGATCAATAAGATATAGCTGGTATGTACATTACAAATGCAAGAGAAGTTTTCTAGTTTGGTATTACACAGCAGCATTTAGCAAAATCCATCAAAAACCTAGGACTTTTTCATCTTTCTCTGTTTACAAAATTAAAGCCCCATTTTATGGGAAGGCTTCTTATAGCCTTCTAAAGCAGCTTAGCTATGTTTAGTTCATGTAAATTTAAAAGAAAAATGAAATTCAAGAAAAAGGCCAAAGACAGAAACATAAAGTTAGAGAGAATGTCTAACAAAAAGACAATTAAAGTGTTTATTTAGCATTAGATAAAAAATATATTTTCTTTATTCCTTTTATTGTTTTTCTTCTTTTCAAAGTTCCTTGAAGTTTTTTTCCCTCAATATTTTCCATGATCCAAACAAAAGCCTAATAGGTTAATTGAAAATATACAAAAGAAAAAAATTGTCAATTTCTCGCATAATATATTTCATCTAATAACCACTCACCAAAAAGAATGTGCTCACTATTTGTAAATATCTAACAATTTTGTTTTTGACAATAATATCTAACAAAATCATATAACTGGGGAAATTTCATGAATGGTAGTGCATGCCACACAATAGCAGACAAAAATTCATGTTTTGGTTAAAGATAGCTCCTTAGAAAATGTCTAGAATTTGAGCTCCAAGTCACATGTGAACTTTTAATGAGGTGCTACCTATATGCATGCCCATGCAGCAGAAGCTAACACGTAACTCTGATGGATGCAATGTCTGACATAAATCAATGAACGTTAGACAAATTTCAGAAGCCTCAAGGAAGGAAGCATCATTCATCACACTATTTACTATCTGAAATGGTAAGCTTATATGTAAAAGTCTTCTAAGCTTACAATTTTGCATCCTAATAAAGCACATAAAGAACCCGCATTGCACAGAACTCATTCACAGCAACATGTCATGGAAGCACGATAGGAGCATAAGCTCTTAAAGCAAAAGTTGCAATTATTCAGAAGAGATTGTAAATACAAGAAACAAAGGTTTCACAGTCTGCTGAAAGGAAAAAGGAAAACAACCTGAGTAAAAATGGCTTTGGCTTCTGATATTTTAAGCCTTGTTGATATTTCAAGTGGAGCGAAACTGTCAGCAATGGATACAACTACATAGCCTGCAAGAACAATTGCAAGGTAGATAATCACAGAGTAGACATTCATAGGCATATCAATTGCAATTGCAGATCCTCTCTCAAAACCCAGAGCATTGAGTGCATGTGCAACTAACCTACAAATTAGAACAACAAGGGACTGCGGTTAATATGATATCAAGAGTTGATAGAAGTACAAAGAACAAGAACTTGCATGACAACATCAAGACTTCTTTATTTATCAAATTCAATAACTCTGAGAAAATATAAGACTAAAAGCCTATTTTCCCACAGATCTACTAAGTAGAATCACTCAACAAAATTAGATTATAAAATTTTAAAATATGATCTATTTTTGACATACTTCAACTAATATATTCAAAATTACAAGCACTAAGCACACAATATAAAAGACAAATCATTGAATTCATTCGATGAGCACATCAGTTTGGCTAAAAATCCTTGAAACTACAAGAAAACTCTAAGAAAAAATTAACCATACTTTTGCAACTATAGCATAAAAAACAGAACTCAAAAGACTACTGATGTTAAACATTATCCTGGCTTATCAGGAAGCAACAAATGACGTTAATATTCAACCCATTGCTGTTCAGACTTGCTAACATCTCAATTTATGCTTTTCAAACTCCAATGATGAAATAATTATCCAGTACAATCATTTAGGAACTTATTTTCAAACTTTACTGTCATTCAATATGGGGGGAATCTTGCTTTTAAGATTTAGGAAGAAGATTCCAAAATAAATTATTTAAACTGTAATTATGCATAAAAAAGAAAAGAAAAGAAAAAAAAGAAGCCAACTATGGACAAACAACTCATCTATAAGGTGAAGGATAGCATACCAAACTTCCATCTGCAATTCTTTAAGTGTCATGCTTTTCACAGGCAGATTATCATCACCCTCATCACGCCATCTTATTACTATATCATCCAAACTTCTCTTACTATTAACAATCAAGCAGTTCTTAGCTGGGTTAACAAAAGCTCCAGGAAGCCATTTACCACCTGGATTCAATACTTGGCTTTCTTCAGATGGACTCTCATGTAAGATACAATCAGGAGGAACTGAAAAATTTACACACATTTCATCCAGCATAGTTTTCCAATAAACCTGGCATATCAAGATATAAGAAACAATATTTGATTAATAATAATCCAAATTTTAAATTGTCTAATACATTTATATCTTTTAAAGAAATGTGACCTTGGCACCATAACAGTTATACCTCAGGGTTTGAAACCGAAAATTCTTGAAGATAAGAGAAACTTGATATAGGATCCTTGTATTTGTTGCCCAAGAATTCTTTTCCATGCCTCTCCAACAGAAGGCCAACATTTGTTAACAATGCATTCTCCCTATCCATACATCAATTGACAAAAGAAAGCATAATACCAGTATTAACAAAAAAAAAAAAAGTTCAAAAGAAAAACAAAAAACAGATGCTCTAAAACCCACCGCTCAAAATGACAAAATTTCCTAAATTAGGGTTGCTCCTTTTGATTCAACGATGTGAAAAGATGATATAGTATTTAAACCAGCTGTATCATCTAGTTCAAACTATTCTAGGGTTACTCATTCAGTTGAAAGTTGGAGTTATAAAAATAATTAATTTTACTTAAATTCTAAATCCAATAAAGCTGAACTTCTTTTCTCTGTGTTGCATACAAAATTGAACTGAATTATTAGAAAAAAAATGAAGTTTTTAATTTTGATGATTGCCAGAATTGAACAAAATAACCGTTAAATTTCAATTTTTTTCACTTCTTTTTTATCTATTTATTCACTTGCGATTCATTTTTTTTTTTTTACTATAAGGCAATAAATTGAAAATCAAAGTAAAGTAAAAAAAAAAAAACTCAAAGGAGCAAAGAGGAGAAACTTACGGGTCGGGTATCCAAGCAGGCGGGTCGGGTCCGAAGTCTTTATAGCAACCATAGTACATCATCTGATGAAGAGAGAAAGGTAGATTCGGGGTAAGGACATGTTTGGAAATTAGGTTCCAAGTCTCCGGCGTGGCAGCTCCGTAATTATTAACGATCTCCGCCACCTTCCGGTGAATTTCTTCAGCCAGTTGAGACGATATCCCCGACGCTTCGATATCTTCGACGGTGACGGAATCCAAAGATTTGTACACCATTGTTTTTTTCTTCTTTGAACTCAAAAAGTGATAACAAAAAAAAAAAAAAAAGAGTTAAGAATTTTAGTTTTAGTGAAGAAAACTGGTAAGCTGGCCTTTCTACTCTGAAAGATTTTGACGTATACTCTTAAACAACGTCGTTTTCATTACCTGTGAATATTTTATTCAGACATGTCCAAATTTTTCTGAACTTTTTTTGGTTTTTTTTTAGGTGGACTCGTTGAAATGTCCGATTTGATTTTTTTTTTATAAAAAAAAAAAAATTAAGAGTAAGAGAAATTATTTTATTGATAAAGTCGAATAAATTATCAATTTAAAATTTTTAATTTTTTAAATTTATAAATCATTTATTAATAAAAATAAAAATATTTAAATTTTAATTACTTCAGGTTTACGTTTGATTTGGTAGTTACTACTTACTAGCAGGTACCAAACTAATCTTCAATTTTTATATTTAATTAAAAATAATTTGATTATTTGCTGATATGCAACTAACAAATGATTACTTTTACTCTATTTTAGTCAATCATTGATTTGTTAATATAATATAGATTTTAATTGAAATTATCATATGTATTGACTTTAAAATGAGTTAATTTTTTCTTATCTAAATTTTTTAATAAAAAAATAAATTTCAATAATGTTTTTGGTAATATGAAAGATGATTATATATGTCTATTCAGTTATTTTAATTAGAAAAATTTTAAAGCAAAATTTAATTAAAATTTTCAATTATTAATAGATAAATATATGAGGGTTTGTTCATTTATCTACTTGACATTGAAAATTTTAAATTCTATAAGAAAAATAAATTTAATATTTATTTATTTATTTATATATAAATATACTTAGATATATGTAAATCCTGTATTTCTGCTATTAGATTTTAAAAACTTCATTGTCAATATACAAGATTATTTAATATGTATTGATTTAGAATTAATCTATCTAGCTTTGCCCTTCTTTTTTCTCGTGATTTCTATTTCTTCATCCTCAAGAATCATTACAGGCTTCATTTACAAACTGCTGAGAAGGGTTTGCATTGCGTTGGAGTGCCAAAACGGCACTGAAAAAATATCCAATGCCATTTTGGACCATTTTCAGCAACGATTCCAAACTGAAGCGTAAATCTATAACTCCAAAAATCACGTAGTGTTAAGTTTATGAGATGCAGGTAAGTCATATGTTTTCAATGTCTTTGATTCTTTATATCATGCTTTCAAGTATTTCCAATGTGTTTTTTCAAGAAAAAAGTATTAATGATTTCTTTTGGAGGCTTGTTCAGAATGGTTTTTGATTGTTGGATGCTCACTGGTTATGGCTTTAGTTTCATTTTGAAGGTTTTGAGGAAATTTTTGTCTTTTCCAATGTTAAAGACAGATATTAGATTTTAGAACAATGGTTCAGATCATCTTAGTTTTTTCTTTGCAAAGAATAAAAAAAAAAAAAAAAAACCAAAATGAAGAAGTTTGGCAGTGTTTGAAAAAATTGTCATTTCTTTGTCGAATCGTTTCAGTTTTTCTTGATAATCATCATTTCATTCACCTTCATCAGTTTATTGCCACAACAAGATCTCTATTTCTGTAAGTGTTCTTTGAAAATCTTTCATCAGTTTATGTTCTGTTTTCATAATAAATGGTCATAATTCTCCAATGTTTTCAAAGAAATTTAAAAGGAAAAGAACAACTATGAATAATGACACTCACCTCCGGTCCTCTTGTGCCAAAAACACTGATAATAGATCGGTGAATATGAACAGAAAAACAGCCTTGGAAAGCTGAAGCTGAAGCTATTTTGAACAAACCGCCTGCTTACACTGGTAGCACATGCTCAATTCTATACCAATTCTCTCCCTTGCGATCCCGAACCTTCATCTCAAAATCACGAGGCAGGTAGCCTAGTTTCAGATTGCTGAGAGTAGCCACTGGCCATAATCCTCTTGGAACAATCCTCATCTTACACTCAACAATGTGTAACTCCTTGAGATTGGCCATTGCTCCTTCCTCTATCCTCCATGTCTCCACTGAGTAAAGAAAAGACAGCTTCAAGAATTGGAGTTGAGGGAACCCCCCATTTGAGCATACCATTTGCTTTCCCACATACGCAGAGTGCTTTAATTTCAAGACTCTCAAACTTGGGAGCTTCTCAAGCTTTTCCATGGGGTCTTCCATCAAGAAAGAACCATGTAATGTTAGTTCACTTAGGTTGGGTGGAAAATCTTGGACGCCAAGCGACTTCTGCCTGAATCCTCCAAAGTATAATTTGGTGAGAAAGATGTGACCTGAAAAGTCCATGAATCCAGGAAGGGCAGCCCTTGCAATATCTTCACCTCTAGTTCTTGCATCTAGCTTCAAAGTTTGTAGCCCTTTCGACTTGAAAATCCATCTGCTTAAAGCTTCTTCTTGCGCAATCAAATTGCCAAATAAGCTTAAGTGTCTTAAGGTGGTCAACTTGTCCAGGCCTAGCTCGACAGAACTAGTTTGTCCAATACAGATGCCCTGTAATGTTTGGAGATTAAGTAGAGAAATATCCTTTGGTGGCTTCACTATCATCTCTTTATTCTCATTGAAGTACAAATGTCTCAATTCCAGCAACTTACAAATAAAAACAGGAATTGGATCAACCAGCGTTGATCTTAAATCCAATGTCTGCAAGTTCAGAAGGTTGCACATTGATGAAGGAAGCCGCCTTAACCAAGTTCCTCCTAATCCCAGGTACCTCAAATGAATGAGGTTCCCAACATCAGATTCAAGTAGACCAATTTGAACGCTTTCCAAATCAAGCACTCGCAAGAGTTTAAGCTTTTTAAGGTTCTTCAACCCTGGTTCATTGTGGTCAAAAAAAAACAAAGAACGGATTCTTGAACTATTTCTAGTTTTCGGAGCAATCCCAAAGCTTGTAGAGACCCTACGAGGGCTTGTTAGAAAGCAATCCTTGACATCTCCATGGATGATATCGAAAAAACGATCTTCCTTAGCTTTCTTTGTGGCAAGTTCTCTCAAAAGATCATGTATGCGAACTGTTTTAATCCTTCCGTTCAATTTCTTTGCAGTAATTTGAACCATGCTCCTCCCCACTAGTTCTACCAAGTAATCCTCAGCTACATCTTCCAATGGTTCTTCACCTCTAGGCTGCACAAATCCTTCTGCCACCCACAATAGAATCAATCTTCTAGCAGAAATTTCAAAATCTTCGGGGAAGAGACCAAAATAAAGAAAACAAGGCTTCAAGTAGTAAGGTAAATCATGATAACTTAATGCTAAAATATCAAGGCATTGTGCTGGATGTTGCAGTAGCTGCCAATGTGCACTTTTCAGAACTTTGAGCCATTCTTCAAAGGTTGCTTCTCTTCTCGACAACAGACCCCCTAGAACTACAATTGCAAGAGGTAAACCCTTGCATTTCTTCACAATTTCTTTTCCTAACTCCTCAGTCCAAGCAGGCAAACTTGTCAGGGCATTCCATTCCAGACATATCTTCCTGGACAACAATTTCCAGCTATCTTCATCACTAAGAAGGCTGAGTTCATGTGGCCGGGTTCGTGGATCAGCATGTAAAGCAACATCTCTGAACCTTGTAGTGAAAACTACTCTACTTCCATTTTTTTTATCAGGAAAGACTGCTTTTAAATCATCCCAAACTTCTTTATTCCATATGTCATCAAAAACTACAATATATCTCCTTTGCTCCAAAAAACTTGACAACTCTACTCGCATTTCCTCTCTGTTCATCTTTTCTAATTCCACCTTTCTAAGCCCCATAACCTTGTTACACAAATCTCTCAATAACTCTCCAGCTTTGTATTCATGAGAGACATAAACCCAAGCACAAGAATCAAAACACATGTTGACATTACTGCTACAATAAATTTTCTTGGCAAGAGTGGTCTTGCCTAGACCAGCCATGCCGATGATTGAAACAATAGAGAGTCTCAGCTCCCCATTAATTAGCTGATCTTCCAAAATTTTTATGTCCTCCTCAGTACCAACAACAATTTCCTCATCCGAAGAGTGAGGATATGATCGTCTCCTTTCACGAAGAGAGTTAACTGCAAAACTAATCCCTTCTCCCCCTTTACCAATATTTTCAATTCCATAAGTTGACCTACTACTGCTAATATCATGGATTTTCTTCTTGATCCTGTTTATTTGCTTGTTAAGCTTATAACTTGCAAGGAGTTCATTAAAGCAAAAAGGATACCTCTTGAAGAACCTGGTGGTTGACCCTTTCTCTTGTTGTTTCATCATTTTGAGGATGTAGCTATCAATAGCATCTTCAGCATCATAAGCAACTTCTCTTATGTCTGCCACCCAGTTTCGAACTCGATCATCACCATCTTGTTTTGCATCTGCATCCTTGAGAAAGCATAGCATTCTCCTTAATTCTGCATGAATCCATTCAACTGTTTCCCAAACTCTTGCCAAGGAAACAGCTTCATCCACCATTTGACTAGCAATATTTTCAATAACCAAGGAAACAATGTACTCAGCCATGTATTGTACCACTTTACAGGCTTCCACAGCTTTCTCGGTTGCTTGGCAGAAGGATGTAGAAGACCACAAACTAAAAGCATACCAATTGTATTTCAGGGAGGCACCATATTTGAAAGTTGACCAGAATTACTTGATTCCACACGACACCAGAATTTTTAGTTTTAAAGTTAATACATTAGGTTGACTAATACTAATATTTAACACTATTTCCAATGGTTTTCATACACGTAACAAAAGATCACATAAAACTATCAACTCCTTCAGGATTAAGTGATCATTTTAACTGGTAAATTTGATTAATAAACATGAGGCAAAATATTACATCTGCTGAATAGTCATCAGGAAAGAGTCATAACTGCTTTATGTCATTCTTTGACTGGAAAATTTTGTAGTGAATAGCTAGTCTGGCTACACGCATCAAGGTCAAATTGTGGATGACTGACTCTGCATATGTTGCGGCAGACTTTGTTGATCATTCCAGTCAACTATCCTCATAGCATTTATATAAATATAAATATAAGTATATATATATATAGTGTTAAACAAAGAAACTCAATTAGATCATAGTGATCATAGGCACTGGGCGTGCTAATTACCTGGAACAGTGAACTGTGAATTCAGGCATACTTAAATCAGAATAACATCGTAAACAAGATGCGAGTGGAGATAGACCTGAGAGATATATTGAATTAATTCTCATGATTTACAATAATTTGGAAGCTAGAACATGAATCTATGAGAAAATGGTCACTTACCATCTTATGCTGCTACTGTTGCAAGTTTTACCTTGTTTCCCAATCAATCTAGATCTCTGTTGACAAGTGTATTTGTTTATGAATTAGATATTGGTAGTCTTTGTTGACAAGGCAGATTGACTTCAACAACTAACAGCAGCTCTGACTTGGTGTTTCAGCTCATAAAAATTTATACAATAGGGGCCCCTTGGATATGTGGTAGGAGGTAGGTCGAGTCGCACTACAGTACCCACGACCCTGTAGGAGTTCCTCTCACCACACGTATAAATGAATCATAGATCCACTTTTACAGTCTAGATATTGAACTGCTTATTAGAGTCTTGTGACACAAATCTAGTATTGTTTGGAGCCCAAAAACAGGTTTCAGAAATCAACTTATCAGAGAACAAGCTTCAAAAATTGGATCTGGATTGTCTAATTCATTGTTTCATGCACCAAGATAGATATTATTCCATTTTCCACTTACTTGTTAGGGCTCCTGAGCCCAAAGTTTGGGCTTTGAAATCTAATATATATATATATATATATATATATATATATATATATTATAATACAACATATATGAATAAATTTGTCACATAAGCATTTATGTGGATAATTCTCTTAAATGACATATAGAATAGTTTTTTTTTAAAATAAGATAGTTTTTTTTAATTACAAATTAGATAATTTTAAATTTATTCAAATATCAAAATTATTCAAATTATAATTGAAAATCAAATCAATTTAGAGATATATTTTTTAAAATTAAAAATATGAAATATGGATTTTATTTTTTAATAAATAATTTTAATTGTTTACCATATAACCTTATTTAAAAAATTATTTAATTATCAAAAATCTTTCAAACATGTTTAAAAATTACTAAAATTAAGTTAATCCAAATCTTTTAACAATATTTTTTATCTTGATTTAAAAAATTATCTTTTTAAAAAATTTACATAAAGCAATAAAAATTCAAGTAACTTTATGTAAAATTTTGAAAATTCAAAAAATTTTCATCTTAAAATTTTAAATAATAAGATCATCAAAATAATTATATACATTTGAACTCTAATTATCAAATTTATATTTCAAATAAATGCAAAAAATTTAACATTATCTTTATCACTTATTATATCCATTTTAAATTTTAAAAAATTAATTTAAAATTATCTATTTAATTTTAATTAACACTAAAAATTTCTTCTACAAATTTAAAACTACAAATGTAATATGTTATACATCAATTTTTTTATTTTTTCAGTAACTTTTTTTCAAGATATATTCTATTACTATTGTAATTTGTTTTATTTTATTTGTTTATAACTTTTTTCCAAGTTATATTTTATTATTATTACAGTTTCATTCTTATGAAAAATAATATTTTTTTAATTTATTTTTTTCACATATTTTTTAACATTTTTCATATTTTGCATAATAATTTAGTTAAGATTACTAAAGTTACAATATGTTAATACTTATTTTATTATTTAATTTATTATTCAATAATATTTTTTATTTTTTTAATAAAGGCATAATTTATTTTTATTTGATATAATCTTATAGGTGTATATATATTATTATAAACAAAAACATCTAAAGAAAAGATATAATTTTTTTTGTTATTTATAGAAAGTTATTTTCTTAATAACAAGTCAATATTTATAAATTTTATATATGCTATGAATTTTAAATATTTAAATATAATTTTGAAAAGAAACTAATTTATGTATATATATATTTATATTAAATAAATAAAATTATTTCATGCATTGCACGTATTATAATCTAGTTAACTTTATAAACCTCACGTCACAAATTTGTCCTAATTATTTATTTTTTATATAAAGAAATCATAATCCTAAGATAAAGGAAGGGATTATAATTTTATAGATATTGAGATTTAAACTCTAAAAAAATACCATGAATAAACTAAACTAAATCTTGAATCCATGATTATCTATACCATGGTTTCAACTTATCCTCTTGTTCTCCAAAAGATATGGATAAATGGCGAAAAAGCAGGGGAAGAAATTCTCAGAAAAATAAATAATTAAAAAGTATACGTTCACATTTATCACTTAAAATAGCACAATTTCCATTTTATAGCTTTTATATATATATATATAAATGTATTAACTTTAAAGCAGGTCATTAATTTTTCAGCTAGATGCTTTTCACCATTATAGATAACAAATTTGCCGCTGCCAGTTAAAGGGACAATGCAAATGCCATTCACTTTATTAAAATCTTTAATGAATGAAGGACTGACTTCTCACAACATTTGAAGACAGCAGATGCATAGAGCATTTAAGATAAAGGGTCTGCCCTAAAGGCCAAAGAATCCAACAACAGAAAAACTAAATGACCCTTTTTATATATATCATCTATATCTGAAAATGGCAGTGAATGAAAAAAAAAAAAAAAAAAGAGACAGTTATGCAGAGAAATTAAAAGGAGTGAAAGGTGAAAATAAAATAAAAAAAAGGGTATGAATAAGTTCACAAGGAATCCAACAAGAAAGCTAAAAAGTTCATCTGAGGATTTGCAGTCCACAAGAACATTTTTGAAAAGCAAAAATGAGGTAAGAAAAGATTATGCCATGTTCATAAAGACTAAAAGCACAGACAAGATGACAACTCATTATCAGACAAAATACCAAACATTAGTTTTTAGTTTGAGAAAGCAAAGGGGTGATGTGGTTTGGCTTTGGCAGTTTTGAGGTGTGAGTTTTGTTTGGAGGTTGTTGGATGTATGCTAGTAAGGGTATTAATTTGGGTAATATCTGGTTTTAAATTCTGTATTATATAGCAATAAAACATTGCTTATGTCAGTTCATTGGCTTTTACTTGAGTTGTAGTGTTCCACATCAAATTCTCACCTTATTCGGCCATCAATCAAGTTGCTAATAATATCATTAATTTATTATCATTGAGAGAAGAAGACACTACATCCTTGTCATAATAGCTCAAAAAATTACTGTTATAACCCTTTTGATTTCTTTTTCTTTTTTTTTTCAAAATAATTCAAGTAGGTTTAATTTTTTAGCTCCGACTTAGTGAATTCATATAAAATTATCTTCATACAGCTTCAATGGATTCGAACTCCGTTAATCCTTTTGATTTCATTCATAAATTCAATTGGAAGTGAGAACAGTATTAGTAGACAACACGACTTTGTAGGGTAGGTTTCATATAAATTCATTAAGATAAATTTCATGTGATTAACAAAGAACCAATTAGCCAAAACTGCCCTAATTTCCTCAAACTTGAAATACATGCTTCATTCAAGGAATCTGTCAGTCTGTTCAAGACAACCCTGAACTGAATCCTTTCCTTCATGCTAATGGATCAACAATCTTCCATTTAAAAGACATGAACAGACCCACAAAGTTCCAAAGAGTTTATGAAGGAAGACATAATTCTTGAATTCAGACAGGTGCAGTACAATACTACATATATGTAGCTACCCTAGCTTTAGTGTATCAAAATTTGTCATTGCCCCTTATGATTCATTAAAATTTTTCATAAGGGGATCTAATACTTCACACATAAAAACAAGGGCACTTATTCAGTTTTTGGTTTTCCCAATTTTCTTTTTCAGGGTATCTTTGTCCAATTGTATTTAAAGTTGTTTCTTTCTAATATATAAGTCCAGAAGGATGCGAACAAACCAAAAAGCTGATGATGCATGATATACCATTCATTCATGTCACTCCAAGCAGCAGTCAAAATTATATATGTATACTTAATTTTATCAACAAATTTTCTATCTGTCATTTGCTAACCTAATTCAAATAATGATGGTAGGAATCTGGTGTTTTCACTTATACTTTTGCTCATTATTTACAGTGTTTTTTTATTCATAAAAACCAAACTTTGAAGTAGACAATCAACATGCCATTATTCCAAAATCATTCTTAATCTAGTCTCCATTATACCATAACATCGTATAGCAGTTCCTCCTCATTTTTGCTAAGCCAGAACTCTTTCTCCTCCTGTCATGGACGGCAACATGGATAGCTCAAGAACTATGCCATCTCAATCTGATCAAAGCCCTTTTAAAAACCACAACTCAATACCAATTGGAAAAGAAAACTTTTATGAAGATAGTGAGAAAAGAAGCAAGAAGCTGACAAAAAGAGGAAACAACAACAATGGTGGAAGATATCTTGGGGTGAGACAAAGGCCGTCGGGTAGATGGGTAGCTGAGATCAAGGACTCTTCGCAGAAGCTGAGGCTATGGCTAGGGACTTTTGATAGAGCAGAAGAGGCTGCCTTGGCTTATGATATCGCAGCCAGGCTTTTGCGAGGAAGGAATGCAAAGACTAACTTCCAGCATCATGGGGTAACCAATACCTATGAAGAAAACTGCAATCTACTTGGAAAGAATCCAAGGCTTTATCAACTTCTTCAGCTAACAATCATGAAGAACCATGCAAGATCAACAACCATTAATGGAGTTCCTTGGATAAATCAAAATATAGGAAACAAAGTCGACCCTGTGGATTTTGATACGCTTGTTGAAGAAACTATATTTTGTTCTTCAACTTCAGATCATTGTGATGAGGGTAGTGATAACAAGCTTTGCCATCTCTCACTAGGCAGTTCTAAGGTTTATTCTTCTGTTGTTGTAGCTCCTTCCTTTTGTGCTTCTTTAGATCAAGGAGGAGCAGGGGATAAAACTTGTCAAGATGCCTAATAACTTGAATCACGGGTTTTTTTTTCCCCTTGTTTTCATGCAAATCAGTTGAAAAATAGCTTGTTTGAAAGAAGACTGTCATTTGTAAATTTATGCTGTTTAGCATTCAATGTTTGATTAGTAGTTGTAGGGATCAAATGAGGAGAAGAGGAAAATAAATCTATGAAGATGACTTCAGAATATGTAACTACATGAATCAGTATTGTTTCTTAATTTCATGCAAATGATGAATTGAGGATTGGTTTTATTGTGCAAAAACAAGAGTACTTTTGCATATGTAAATTTGTGACTTGCCCCATTTCATTGTTTAATTCGCAGCTCTACGCTCCACCACCTCATCAGATGTTTTCTTCAATATCTCAATGATTTAGCACATAATCACATAAAATGGAGTTGGCCCTTTCTGGCAATGAAATTCTTATATTCCAAGTATACATAAATAAATAAATATATATATATATGCGCACGCGTGCGCGCACGCTTAAAGCTACTTTCAAGAATTACCAATGGTGGAATTCAAATGGCTGCAGATTGGAAAGCCACCCGGTTGTTCCACATGATACTAGTTGCTGAATTAACATCATAGCAAATAACTTTGGTATGCTCTCCATTTCAACATTTCATAATATTTTAGGTTTCCTTAATTTCAACAAAAATCATGACAACGCAGTCGTTTTCCTTTGCAGGTACCTAACCAAATCACGACATTTGTAGCCGCAATTAGCCAGCTTCCTGTCACCCTTAATCCATTTGAAATTGCGTTATCGCCACGATCACTGTCAGTTGAATTTTGATCCACTGATACCACTTTTGTACATTTTTTCCTTAAAACCACGATACCAGGTTTCTATAGCCCTTGGTTTGGATTAAACGATCAGTTCTCAATCAGCCTCAAATCCAATTTGTTGTAACCAATAATTGTTAGTAAAATACACTTGAAACTTGAAACAAACCCAGTTGATTCATTAAAAAGATGACGTTAATTCAAATATTATTAAAAAAATAATATTTAATAACTTTAAAATCTAAATTTCAACATTAACCATCCCTTATCGCAACATGACCTCACTTTAAAGTTTCTCAATTACTCAAATATTTTACTTTTTGTATAAATTTCCTTGCTAAGATCATATATTTACTCAAATTTGACCAGTTTTAAGAACCGATAATTGGTGGCTGACCAAAATAAAATTCTTAAGTGATAAGAAGGTGCGGTAACAACGGATAGCCATTTGACGATACGATCTTAGGCCTTAGGTGTTAAAACTTAAAACCCAAACTAACAAGAGAAAGCGACACCTACTAACCAATGGCTACTGTGGCCCAATGGTCTTAATCATGAATTGCAAAAATCCAAGGCTGGGTAGCAACAAAGTCCTAAAGTCAAGCCTAAACAAATAGCATTCGGAAAAGATTCAAGCCAGGCAACACAGCCCCAACTCAAGCTTAGACAAATGGCACTCGGGAAAAAGTCGTTGCCTTCCCCCCACAACTAGACCAAAGAAAAAAAGGGGGATTAAGAAATGAATAAAACAAAGGAATCAATCACAAGCTATAGACAGCTCAAAGAAAATTCAGTGACTAACAATGAAAAGAGAATTTATTTTCTTTCCCATTGGAATGACAGGAAAACATCAAGTACAAAGGGTGCAACAATTTTCAACCTAACAACAAAGAATAAGATACAAACAAACAATAGAATAATAGAATATCCTCAGCTTGATTATGTTTCCCTGGATTCTTTCCTTTTCTTTTGGAGCTCATATTTATGCTCCCATAACCAACCTTTTTGGGTGGTACTTGATACCACTAGTCACCAGAAGACTTAAGGAAAGACTTTAACTTGGTTTGATTTCTATTATGGGTTTGATAGATGGGATCTGATACAGATTCCATATGTTCAAATGAAAATGGCAGATTCTTTCACAACTTGGAACCTGTAACTGTAATTTTCCCCCACTTTCATGCAGCAATGCTGAAGATGTGTCCCCCCCCCCCCCCCCTCTTGGAAACTTCATTTTAAAGTTAGCTTTTTATACAAAGAAAGAAACTTTTGCGTTTTGACCACCAGAACAGGGAAAATGACACACAAATGGCTGCAAATTAATTCCTATTACTACCCTGTAAAGTCCCACAACAGCAAAACATACATTTACAGAAGGGGTATGTTATCACTTCCATGTTCTTGGGCTTAAAATGGTGAATCTTCAACTATCAGGAACCTAGAAGGAACTACAGGGGAGCCTTCCGGGTGTTGGAGCCAGTGGCAGAATCTCATGTCATAGAAACTTCAATCATAATCAGAATCTCTACAATATTATGAACTTCCATAATTGCCCACACCAATTCATAATTTAAGCCTTGCTAATCCGAAGAACCATGATGAATGCAACTAAAATGAACAATCAAACAAAGCAATGCAGCATGCTTTCCAGTCTTATTCAATCCTATAAACAATAAATGGCAAAACAGCTTACTTAAGAGCCTTAACAATAAATAACATGCTTCAATGGATTACTGACACAAATTCAAGCAGAAACAAGACAATAGGTAATTCCGCTAAAGTGTTTCAAATGTTGACTCTAGATTAAAATAAAGACTAGAAAACATTAAAATTTCAAGAGAAAACAAGCACCCATGAACAGTTTTGACTCTAGATTTAGCACATATGAAAAACCATAATCACTGAAAATGCAAAAGAACATTATTCCTTAATTCCCATATGAGGCAATCACTGAAAATCCAAAAGAATTGCATTAAAGGTTATAAAACAAATGAAAAAACAGGTCAATAATATTCAGATGTAGGAACATGCCCAGTCAATGTTAAAATTAAACACAATCAAGAAAAAAAAATTTAGAAATAAAGTACCACTTCAAAGGGAAATTAAATGGATTTCAATCTCACACCAATTTGGCAATTAATTCATTTATCAAGGAGCCCAAAAAACCAAAAACCAAAAAAATAAAAACATCAAGCGTAATTAGTAAAAATTTTATAAGAAAAAAAAAATCATAAAAGAGCTTTGACAAATTAAATAAGAAAATAATTTAACAAAAAAAAAAAAAAACAGTGACTAAATATTTGTAATTTTTATTGGACAAATAATCAGTAACCAGGTTGGGTCCACGAGAGGGAAACGATAAGGAAGCCACTTCTGCTTCAGTGCAGTCACCTAACATGACGCCATTAATTGTTAGTGATTAGTGACGTCTTGAAAAAAAACAAAAAAGAAAAAGAAAATTTATTTAGACATTTTAACGTAATTTATACAAAATAATAGAAAAAATAAAAATGACGGAGATAGGATTTCTTTCTACTTATATCAAGATTCTCAGCAACCAACAAGCGGAGAAATTATCAATAACTAGCATAAAACTAAAAAAAAAAATTAATATTTTTTTTACTTTAAAAAAAATTAAATTAAAGAGAGAGTTAAGGCGCTGGATGCAGAGGTTTATCGATCGATTCATGTATTTGTGTTATTCTCACAACAAAATTCCCAGGAAGAGATCGATGAACCGCTGCCTCCAGTGTCTTTACCCCCTTTCCTTATTTCCGATAATAACAATAAAATTTTAAGAATCAAAAGAAAAAAAAAAGGTTCAAATCCAACAGATCTGAACAAATTCAATGAAAACAAAAATATTCCAATGTATTGTATAAATACAAATCTACAAAAAAAATAAAATAAAAAAAAAGAGAGAGATGAACCAGGAAAAAGCAAATCTATAGGCGGTGTCGCCATTGCCGTAGGCTTCTCTGAACCCTCCCTTTCTTTTTTTCTCGAAGTCACAGACGAACAGTGACTTTCTTTTCTTTGGGGAACTCTTTTTATTATATTTATTATTTTTGAGCTAAAAATGGTAGATTTTTCGTGGATTTACGGTTTTAACCCTGTTGGTAATGAAGTTAATAATTGTAGTGCTGTGGACCAATGAGAGTAGGGAAGGGAAGGATCGCTAAAAAGCAATGATTAGAAATACGGAAAACGACGTGTCTTGTTATGGTTTGCTCTTCTTTTATTAAAAAAAGTTTTGCACTTTTTTCGCACTTTCCGCTTTTTGCAATTTTTTTCCTTCTTTCTCGTAACGATTCAATGCTGTACACGTGTTTGGTTCCTTTCATTTGTCCTGGCATACGGCGCAGAGGAAAATGGATGAATGCCATTGTAATCTTCCGGAAAAATGGAAACGTGAAATAAAATAATAATAATAATAAAACATTATTATAAATATTAAAAAATACTTACTCAAATATTTTTGTTTTAATATTGATATATATGATTTGTTTTGATGTATCATTTATACATAAAAATATATTTCAATCATTTATATGTTTATATAAAATATATTTTTTCAAATTATAGATAAATAAAATAAAATAAAAATATTAAAAACATATAGCAAGTTCTTGTTCAATAACCTAAGCCTAATTTAATGAACATATTATGAAAAAAAATAAAAATATCAAGAAATAAGTATTTAAAAGAATAAATAAATAGTAAAAGAGAAATCTTATATTAATCGAACTGATGGATGAATCAATATGATAAATGAACTAATATATACACTTAGACGTATCCCATTTTTTTTAAATATGCTACGGACACTTTTTAAGATAATATTTTACAAAAAAAAATAATTTAATAATATTTTAATCACAATTAATTAACAAGTCATTACCTAAACCCCTTTATATACCTAGAAAGTAACAAAATTTACCTAAAAAAATATTGGCTTTTTACTTTTTTTTATTAATGAGGTTATTAAGAGTGAGCAAGTCAAAAGGTAATAATAAATTTTTTAATTGCAGGTTTGTTTGATTGTTGCTTTTATTTTTTTTTTACTTTTTTATATTTATTCTTTAATTTAAAGTTTTCTTTAATTTTTATTTTTCATTTTTATTAAAAAGATAAAAAAATAAAATAGCAAAAGCATCTTTGAGAAGAGACTTGTAAACAAAATATAAAAAATTAATGGGATTTCAAATATTACTTTAATTATATTATTATTTATATATATATATATATAACTTTTTTTTTTTTTTGCGCTGGCCAGTACGTGGAGCTTCTTTAACTTGGTTCAGACCTTTCTGACGAGGCAAAGCCAACATAAGGAAAAAAAAAAAAAGAACAATTTTTTTATTTTTATTTTAGTATAAAAAAGAAACTCTGCTCACCCATTAGTCTTTAGCCCTTTCCATGTCGGCTTCCACTCTTTCACTCTTTATGGCCGGCTAAAGCCTTTAAAATTAAAGCATTGCTTATCTTCTGAATATTCTCTTCACAAAGATGAAGTAATAGATCTGATATACTTGTATAAATGACCCTGTATTAATCGTATTCACTTACAAAGAATTAATATGGAATCTGCTATTTCAACATTACCCCAAGTGCAGGGGCAGCAGCAAGGAGATATAGGGAGCAGCCAAGCAGCAGCAGCAGCAGCAGCAACAGCAGCAAGCAGTTCGTCTTCGTCGTCAGGGTCTATAGGCCCATTCTTTGCGGTTATCTCAGTTCTCACGGTTCTTGCAATAGTTTCTTGCGTTGTGGGAAGGATTTGTATCCGACGTCGGACGGCCGTGCCGGTGACACCATTGGATACTATCAAGGATGGAGGGTGCTTGGGATGGTTGAAACGAAAGTGTCGACATTGCATGGCTGGTGAGATGGAGGTTGGAGCCAAGGTCATGTCTTTTGGTGACGATAAAAATAACAATGCCCATCGACCTCAAGTTTGAAATTACCTATAACTAGCTTAGTACACAAGATAACAATGCCATCAAATTTCGTTTAATTGCTGGGGTTTAGTTTCATTTGCCTTAATCACTGTAGTGCATGCATATATGCACATGACTTCTTTCAATTACTTTCCTTCTTTTTTTCGTTTTCTTTTTGGTTATAACACCATCTCTGCCGTTGAGACAGATTGCCATGAGAAGAAACTTCGCGTTTGATGCTTATATATATATATATATATATATATATCAGTACCTTAAGCACAACATGAATGTACAGAAGCTAGGATGGTTATAAGATTTTAGTATGTGATAAATGCAGACCCATATATACAGTGGCTTTAATAACTTTTCATCATTCAATTGAAAACAATCTGATCTGCTCTAAGGATTAGTTACAGCTGCATTTAAATAAAACATGATTGAAATTTTTTTTTCTTGAGGTCAATTTGCCTTTTTAATCTCTTATCAACAAGAGAAAAAAAAGATTTTTCAAATTTTTATGCATTTAAATGGTATTTAGAATAAGATGATTATTTTAAAAATTATAGTAACGATTTTATTCATGATGACTATATCGATGTATTTGGTGCAAATTTAATGATATTATGTGACGTGATTGTAGATCATCCAAAGTTATTACATTATTTTTTGAATAAAAAAATATTTAAAAATTTAATTAGATAAAAATAAATATTTAAGAAATGAATTGATTCAATCATCATAATAATAAAACCATTTACACAATTAAATTATTTATAATGATTTTAAAAAATGATAAAACGTTTTTTTCTTGAATAAAAACATTGAATTGCGATACGAAGGAAATAGAGGATTTGACAACTTATCATCGGGAGCTTTTGTTTATGTCACCCGGCAAAGCTTTCAATAGGATGCAAGGTGGGTGACAGCTAAATGGTTTGGACTTCGGAGGATATTTAATTTTAAATTAAGACGAGAGGATAGATTTGCTTAGCGTCGGTGGCTTAAATTGTAAGCAGAGTCGCTATCCCCTGTCGATCTCTCTGCATTATTTTTGACAATTTGGCTACGACTTTTTCCCTTCATGTCATGTCTTATAAATTAATAAATTTGACTAAATGAAAAAAAAATCCTTTTATTTCAATTAATAAATTTTTTAATATTTATTTTTATCTATTTAAATTTTTATTTAAATAAAAATTAATATTGTTAATGCTTTTGTCAATTAAATAGAATTCCATATAACATTATTAACTTAAATAATTGTTGTCAATTAAACAACTATTTGTATTGTTATATGAAACGTTAAAGACGCAATGTGAAAAGAAAATTAATATAATTGAGATGAAAATGTTTAAATAAATATTTGATAAAATTAAAAGAGATAAAATAAAAAATAAAGAAATTTGAGAAAAATTAAATAATTTGATTAAGAAAAATATGGGAAAATTTCATTTGAAATGGTTTTGACATATAAAACGTAAGTTTATTTATACATTAATTAAAAAAATAATTTTTTAAATTTAAGAAAAATCAAAATTTTTATAAATATATCACAAAATATATAGATGAAAATAATAAAAAATAATATAAAATTAAAAAAATAGATAAAAAATTATTTTTAATATAAATGAATGACATAAAAAAATTTAAAATTATAACCTAATATAATATTTCTTTTCACTTTCGTATAACCAACATCAAAATTTTACGAAATAAAATTTAGTTTGTTATTGTTGTTGTTGTTATTATTATTAAATAAATTAAAATTTACCTCATTATGTAATTAATATATATATAAATTAAAAAAATTTTCTTTATTTTTTTTAAAGATCCATTTGCAATTTTAATTGACTATAATTCAGTATTAATTAATTAAATTTTATCACATTATTGGATTTCACTTATTTAAAATTTTAAATGAATCAAAATAAAAAATTTAAAATTTGATTAATTGTAATATAATATTAAAAATTTAAACAATTATTATATTATAATTAAGAAACAATTTTAGCCGTTTAGCTTTTATATATATATATATATATATATATATATATATATATATACTTATAAATGTTCTTAGTTAAAAAATTTGGCCCATAATTATGAAGAACAAAATGTTTTATAAGCTTACAAATACATTGTATATTGCTCTTCCTGCAGGTAGGGACCTACATTTATTTATTAATTGATGCCTTAAAACAAATCCAACCCTTTTGAGTTGTAGTTTATAGAAGTAGCATGTCTTTCTGACTAGAACAGCACATGCATAGCAAATAGCAATGATATGTATTCAAGCAAGCTTGACTTTCATTGCATTAGTGTTATATATTTTTTTTTCATAAAAAGTTTAGGTTGGTCAAATTACCTTATTTTATGCTTAAAATTTTATATTAAATTATAGATTATTTATTAAAAGAGATTATTGAAAATGAAAGTTGAATCTAAGCTTTAAAAAGATAAAAACAATTTAAATTTTATAATAATTTCCAATTTATTTTATCATAAAATCTCCCTTTTTTCTATTTTTTTGAAACCTTTTTTTCTTGTTTTAGTGAAAGATATTATCAATTTTTTGTTGGAATAACTTAATAATATCCTATATATAATCCAAAAATCCCTCCAAAAAATTAAAAAAAAAAAAAAAAAACTATATGAGGTTTCCTTGAAACTCCCATGGAAGGATCCTAAAGAATCTCAACCTTCCATGTATGTAGCAAAAGAGATAAAATAAATCCATCCAAGACACGGTTTCTATTTTTAATGCCACCCCAAAACTCAAATTTAAACCTCACACCCCTAACAAACCAAAGAAATTTACATCATCCTCTGCCAAAATCACTAAAACCCAGAACATTTCTTTCATAGTTTCCTCCTGTGTTGCCTATCCATTCTTCCTCCTCCGTTGCTGCCGGGGGCCGACACCAACATTGTCATGATCAATGTTCCATCATTAAGACATTAACATTAATTGTCTTGTTACGAATATATATATATATATATTTAGTATTTTTTGTTTAGTTTTGTGGTATACGGTTAATGTGCTAGGAACATTATATTGAAAATGGTGGCATTACGAGTTGATCAACTGAATCAATTGAAGGATATTTTTGCAAGGTTTGACATGGATTCGGATGGCAGCCTGACGATTCTAGAGCTCGCGGCACTGCTAAGATCGTTAGGACTCAAGCCATCCGGTGATCAAATCCATGTCCTGTTAGCCAATATGGACTCTAATGGCAATGGTGCGGTGGAGTTTGATGAACTAGTCAATGCCTTATTGCCTCACATGAATGAAGAGATATTGGTAAACCAAGAGCAACTCATGGAGGTTTTTCATTTGTTTGATCGTGATGGCAATGGCTACATCACTGCGGCGGAGCTAGCTGGCTGCATGGCCAAAATGGGACATCCATTGACGTATAGAGAGCTAACTGAGATGATCAAAGAGGCTGATGCCGATGGGGATGGTGTCATTAGCTTCAATGAGTTTTCTTCTGTAATGGCAAAGTCAGCCCTGGAATTTCTAGGCATTAGTTTGTCATCATAACCAATATTTGAGTTTATGTTAGGTCATTATTTATTCACTCTCTTCTTTTTTATTTAAACATTATCTGGGGATGATTTACTGATGGTGAATTCTCAAAAAGACTCTGAAATATTGTCATTCTGTATCTAACTTTGTCTTCAAGTTCTTTTATCTACATATTGGAAGAAGAAACTGCTATCAGCCATTGTCTATATATTGATTCCATTGGTGGGTTTTCTGTTGGATCTATCTAATCTGGCTGATATTGCATTCAACTGTTGATATTTTAGGACTTTCTATACTTCCAGATTAAGTTTATTTAATTATATGCTTTGGATTTCGAATGCAGAAAACTTGATTGGTTTTCAAAGGCAAGTATGTTTTTCTTTCAAATGTACAAGAAATCCTCAGCTCTCCTGAAACAAAACACCTGATTCTTCTCTTCATTATTGATTCCTGGTTTTTATAGTAACAGTGATATAATTGGCCAAAAGAGAACCTTACATTCTTCCAAGGCCGTCCAGATTAGTTGGCAGTCATCCAGGAAATCTTGGATCTGTTTTAGCCTCATGGCCATGGATTGAAATATGTCAAGTAAAGCTTCCGGATACGGTTTTTGATCAGCTTGGGGACAGATTAATGGCAAGATATTACGGCAGTACCTAAACCTGAAAGTTAAATTTGAAGCTAAGATTGGCAATGAAGCTGTCTAACTCATGCTCTGACCTTTAAAAGACCGAAACACTTTAGCCTGTCCCGTTTTGGCTTTTTCTTCTTATCACCTTGCAGAAATCATGAAGAAATCCAAAGCTTAATGGTGTTACTTCTGTCTGGGGAATGGATATAGAAGTGATAACAATTAATGGTGTTGAAATAAGTTTTTGAGAATCACACAGGAGACCGATGAATGAACTTTTATTTCTATAACCTTGCATCTTTAGCTGCAAAATATGATATGGCCTCAGAAATCAAAACACAGCCGAAATGTTGGATAAAAGGCTGCATCAACTAAGTTGATAGGAACATCTTACGGACACAGCTTTCTTGTCAAGAAAGAACCTATGTTGATGTCAAATATCTACACTTAATAGAAACCTAGCAGCACAAGTAATATACAACAATCTTTCCACTGAAAACTAGTGAAAAGGATGATCATCAATGAACCCCAGCTCTTTCTTTGGAGCTTTTTGATTTTTCTTCAAAACGTGCAGTATAACCTACTGTTGTGGGACGAAGCGATCTCTGTCGCACCATATGACAGTACTCAGGGTCATCAGCTTGCCCATCAGATCTAATCCACTGTATCATCTGATGATAAGAGGGGAAAAACCGAATTTGGATGGCTGAGTAAGCGAAATATGGGAGAAGTGAGGATATGAGCACAAGGAGCGTAAGAAGCCAATACGATCCAGCTGGTGCACAGGCTTCAATAAAGACCTGGTAGGCAGTAGTCGATATGTTTGGGTCCATTGCTCCATAAGCCATAAGGAATATATACCAGAGTAGTATGCCGCCCCAAATGAAGAGATGTTGTATATATGTAAAATAAGTGATGGAAAGTGCCATTTGGCAGTTAACTACCCACACCACACACGTATACATGGTAGCGCCAAGGATTTCCAAACCAACAACTTCCCCACCTTTGCGAAAGGCTTGATGCTGCATTGCTGTGATGCAGAAGAAGAAGATTATGGTAGCACTTAGCACTCCATTAAATGCCCAGGCAAGGATTCTAAGCCAGCTAAAGAGAACATTCTGTATGCCTTCTTGATATAATAGAGGAAACTGCAACATTAAGTAGAAAAGAAAAATGAGATATCATCATCACAGTTGCATTTTCACTTAGGTAAAGAATTTTAAAAACATGTCGGTTTTCTACTATTATCAACAAAGCTTTAATAATGCCATTCAAGAATCTAGCACTTTGAGGCCAAAAGAAAATCTTGTATGAGGGATACCTTGAGACACAAACGGGCAGAGACGTCTTGGTCAAAAACTCCCAGAGCAATCACAGGAAGCGATGTGAAGAAGATGTTATAGAGAGTCAGAAACCAATCATTGTATACAGCTTGCCCCGAGAATGATGCATATATCTCAAAGAAGAAAATAGTGAAACCAAACGCAATATTCTTGTAAAAGAAATAGCATATCTGCAAAACAGTTTGATCATTTCAATTTAACTGGTTGATATTGGATGATAGTGTTGGCAAGTTTGAAAAAGAGCATTAGTCAGGTTTCTGACACTTGATTGCCATGGCTAAACAAAAGGATTAAGAAAAAGTTGAATTTTCTAACATAGATTAAAAGCCAAAATCGGACTTAGTTTCAATTTCAAGGCATTTACTACTTTCACAGCACAGGTCCACAAGAATCATATTGGTCAAATCCCTATTCATCTTAAAATGTTGTTGCTGATTTATCTCAAACAATCTTCTGACATTGTGCTGATATCAAATTCCAAATTTGGCTTTGTGGTAAAAACATTTTCATCTAAGTTTCAGGTTTTGATTAACAATTCAAGTTTAACATCTAAGAGTAACTTATATTACCATTGACGAGATCCTTCTGTAACACCAATGTCCGTGCACAAGAAGCAAGCGCTCCAAAAAGCGGAACTGGGCAATTGCAATGTCACTTGACATGACAGCCTGAAAATTTGAGAAGTGAGTATTAAAAAAAGGAAGGGAGCATCATGTGAAACAAACCAATGTACCATTTTTATACATGGAGCAATCTATTTAGCATTTACCTGCATTCCTTCTACACCGCTGATACCAACTCCAATATCTGCTTCTTGAAGCATACCAACATCATTTGCTCCATCTCCAATTGCTAGAGTTGTACTACCGGTTTTAGTTTTAACCAGTCTTGTAACCTGCAATTTTTTTTCAGTTAATTAGTTTGAATTCTCCTTGGAATTGCTAGAAGCAAGCAAAAGTTTGGATGCTTTTCTTCTTAAATTACAAAAACAAGTTCTTGTTAGTCAAATTGATATAGAAAATTTTTCTTCATTCATTTTAACTGATTTAAGTTTCAAAGATTCCAGAAATATTATTACAACAGGTTAGCAGTTCTTGAAATCTTTGGTCAGCACTTTGTTCTGTCAGTATATGTTTATAGTGTGACCTAGCAGGACTTATAATACACACCATTTTTGTGCTCACCATGGGAACAAAATCAAATAAAAGTTCTGTAAAAAATATATATTTTTTATCCACCATTGAAGGATAATATAACTTACGAGTGCCTTCTGTTTAGGAGATGAACGGCAGCAAATAACAGATGCACACCCAATGGCAAGTTCTAGGAAAAGGTCTTTGACATCATCGTCCAGAGCATAAGTTAGTGACTTCCCATCAAAGATTAAAGCCAATGCCTCAGAGTTTTCATTTGATGAAGTGAGCCACTGCTTCCCTTCAGCTATCTGCCGGAGAACGCTTGCCTTAAATGCCTAGAAAACCAAAAGGATCTCGTCAAGCTTACAAGCACACTCAAATGTTAGGTTAGATTTGGCTAGGAAACCATCTTATACTGGTTCACTAGAAGTTGTCAAGATATGTAACTATGAAATTCTATTTTTGCACTGTTGGGCAAACGAAGTATTTCAAGGCAGCAAAATCTTTCACAAGTTATTTTGATTTATGGCACTCGCAGTCACAGATTTCCCATGTCCTCTAGCTAATGTCATGTTTGAACAGATATGGCAAATAGCATGGGAATGATTTCTTTCAGTGTAAATAACTTGAGCCAGTGCGGGCAGTACATATATATGTGAGAGCATGGTTTCTAAATAAAAGTGAATTGACACAGAAAAACCTCAAGTAAAGCTTGGGTTAATAAGCAGGATGCCACTGTCAACTACGCAGCTTTATCAAAAGGTTAAAGCTGAGATTTTTCAGGAAGTTTCATAGAAAGCATCCAATGAGATAAAAGGCAAAAAATAAACTAACACATAAAAAGGTCCATAATGTTTTTGTAAAGGTTGTTATGGATGAAGAGAAATGAGTTGTCCCATCCATCCACAAGTTGGGAAAATTTGGTTGTAATGGTTAGTTCATGTTCCCAAAATATTTGGAAGGATAAATGAACATTTTGGGGTGACATGCATGGTTAAAGAGGGCAATGTATCAAATGCTGTAATTCTCAATCACCTTAAATACAGATAAAAAGAAAGAGAAAATAAGGGTATCCATGGAAATTAAAGTTTACCACTGCAGCAGCAGTTTTATCCCCTGCTTTCTCCAATGCCTTGTTTTCTGGAGTCTCTGAATTTATTACTATTTGTTTCATTCCTTGTCTAAGCAAACTACAGGCAAAGCTGCAAAGTTCAACATAAAAGCTAAAAAAATCAGCATATCAAAGTTCACATTAGATTTTATGGTAACTACTTGCAATAATCATTATACCCAATATTTATTGCCGTCTCCATCTTATCTCCTGTCAAAACCCATATTTTGATCCCGGCTTGTGCAAGTTTGTCAATGCATTCAGGAACCTATCCAGCACATAAGGTGAAATGCTCAATAAAAAACCTTAGAATTGATCTTAAAAGAAATTAAATTATCCAGTATTTGAGCATGACATGAAAAATGAACAAGTCATATTTGTTGCCTTAGTTTGTAATAATAATTATCTCTAGGTTCATATCAAAAGATGAAGGTTATTTTTCTGTTGTGATAATAATGCTTTCATTAAGTGCCTTTAAACTCACCCCGTTTTGAAGTTTGTCTTCAACAGCTGTAGCACCAAGAAGAATCAAATCCTTCTCAATCTTTTCTGCCACTTCCTCAATCATTTCTTCCCGATCTGCACTCACTAGGTTCTTGGCTTCTGTGAATTGCTCATTAAACTCAACATATTCATCCTCATCTATTTCACGGTATGCAAGTACCAAAGTCCTCAAACCAGCATCAGCATATTCATCAATATGCTCCTTGGTTTGCTCTGCAAATTCTTGCCCATTCTTTGCAAGCCGTTCAAACATGACACTGCTTATTCAAAGAAAGAAAATGTACTTAATCTGTTGTCAAGTACTTGTGTAATGGAAAGAACAACTAAGCAACATAATCTAGCCACAACATAATCTAGCCAGTCAAGAGCTATACAATTGCACTTCCCTTAGTTATGACAAGATATGCATCCTTACACAGAGATAGAATGGGGTCTCTAGTTGTTCGTTTTTTGGTGCTAGAAGTCAACTCTTCCCACCCCATTCCCCACTCATCTAAAAGGGAATAAAAACAAGATAGAAAGAGACCGTAAAAGCTATTGCAGGAGCCATTTCATTGACCACTACCTTGTATTGTCAGTTTGTCACCA